CATTTTTTCTGAAAACCAAATAAGCAATTAATACTCATCAGTTATTTCACTGACTGGTGACCCTCTTCCCATGTACCACCCTTACTGGTTTTTTCCTTTAGTATTTACTTGAGACAAAGAACTTTCTAAGAAACATTATAGCCCTTAGACTAAGTAAAACAAACTTCTTTCCTCTTATTCTATAAACTAAACAATAAAGTATTTCACATACCCATCAGGGGAATTAAGTTTTAATTTTGCTTTGCAGTATGGAAACCCTGGTGGCATAGTGGTTAAAAGCTACGGCTGCTAACCAAAAGGTCGGCAGTTTAAATCCACCAGGTGCCCCTTGGAAACCCTATGGGGCAGTTCTACTCTGTGTTCTGGGGTCGCTATGAGTCAGACTCGACTTGACAGGAACGGGTGTTTTGTTGTTAAACCACAGCATGACATAATTTCCTGTTGCTGTCAGTTGCCATCTGGTCAATCCCAACTCATGGTGACGACATGTGACCCCGTGTGTGCAGAGTACACCTGCTCCGTAAGGTTTTCAAGGCTGTGTCCTTTTGAAAGCAGATCACCAAGTCTGTCTTCCGAGGCACTTCTGGGTGGGTTTGAATTGCCAATCTTTTGGCTAACAGTCAAGTATTTAACTGTTAGGTTATCTCCAATATTAAATAAATAAAAATCTATAAAGCCAAACTTCTGAAAATGAAAAAGAACACAGAAATAGTTTCCTCTTTAGTAAAAAGATTCAGTTCATTTTTTTGGTGTTACTGTTGTTAGCTGCCATCAGTTGGCCCCTGACTCATGGCAACTCTTGCACAATAAGATTGGATCATTATGATCTGTAGGGTTTTCATTGGCTGACTTTTCAGAAGTAGATCACCAGGCCTTTCTGAGTCTAGAAGCTCTGCTGAAACCTGTTCAGCACTGCAGCAGTACACAACCATCCACCAACAGACAGGTGGCAGCTGCACTTGAGGTGCACTGGCCAGGAGTCGAACCTGGGTCCCCACATGGAAGGTGAGAATTCTACCACTGAACCTCCACTGCCCTTAGAATCATTGAACAATAACTAGACATAGACTCAGTCATTCACTGTAGAGCGACTAAATCCTTTTGTTGAGGCGACTAGGCCACAAATCACTTTTGATGCTGTAACATCCTGATGAATATCTTCATAAACCAGAAAACACACTGTGTGTAAACCACACATGGCTAAATTCAGTTTTAATTGGCTGAAGCCCAGAACCAAAGTTTCCTTGTTTTAGAAATTATCACTTTTGTGGGCTTTTTAAAAATCCTTTTAACTGAGAATACAAAGACCAGTGAGGTTACAGATTTTTTTTTAATTAATCTACTGTCTGCTAAATATCAGATTACATAAAAACAATTATTCACATCCGTTAAAAACTCATGGGAAGTGCAATGGCCAGACATGCGTGCGTGATGTGGGTAGGAACAAAGGAAGCCAGGCCCAGCGGCCTGCGGGAGAAGCCCACAGACACGGATGGACACAGGAGACAGCTTTACGGTACCTGACAGGCTGTGAGAGCAAGAGGAGGAAGAGAGACCAGGTAAGAGAGCGCTCACGGTGTGGAGGAGCGGCACGCTCTTAGTGGCGGGCAAAGCCTCAGAAAGGTGAACACAGTTGCTGATAGACTGGCTTCGCTTAGCTTCCAGGAGAGATAAAGTAATAATTATGTCAGAAGAACATCAGGACTTTACACTTCTACTTTATTATTATTATTTTTATGGGCTCTCTTTAAACATTTAAAGGAAGTCACTTCAAACTTTAAAGGAAGTCACTACAAAGCACAGTATTTAATCAGTCTCTAAATACAGCCAACTTTCAGCCAGTCATTCTGATGACACAGTAGAAAGGGCAATCCACAAGCAATCAATTTCATTGTGGAATGCTTCTCCTTTTTTTTCTCCTGTTGTATGTCAGATTCACATTAGGGTTGGTTGTTTGTTTGGACAGACATTCTAATCAGTTTTTCCTTCTGGAGGACACACATAAATGACCACGGAAAGGGAGACAAAATCCAGCCTAGGATTGAAATCGTTCTATAAACACTAAATAATTCACAAATTGGTTTACTGAGAGCTGACTGTATTCAAAAGCAATTCACTTAGTAAATTAAATATCCTAAAAGCTCAAGAACACTTAAAAGTCAAATTAACATTTAAAAGACTTGATATTTGAAACAAAAGGGTGAAAATCTCCATGAAACTCATCCTTTCATATCACATTTCGTGCTTAAACCACATTAAATTCACAATTCCTTAGTATCAGTTTTTATGATGTTCTCAAATTTTCTATACATATTTGAGAAACATTTGAGAAAATGGATGGAAGCAGGAGAACATGGCTCATGTATAAAGCCACCATCAGTAAAATCAGTTTTATACTTCTAACAAAAATATAAAGCCATGCTTGCTCTTTTATTACTTTTACGTGATTTTACTGAACATGAATGAAACAGAACTACAAATGCAGTGGCATATTTGCAAAAAGTAAAAAAAACTTTTTACTGTCCTTTCCACCATCCTTTGCCTGTCTCATTAAATACGTAAAACATCATATTTAAATGAAAACAACTTCGTATAAATGTCAGACTTACTGACTTTAAATTTCCTAAAAGATTTGTTCACCTCTAAGTCAGAGGCTTTTCACTTGAAAGTTTGCCCTTCATAAATCAAATGAGTGTGCATTTTTCCAAAACAGATCACTAGATATTTTAGGAATAATAATTTTATGTGGAAATTAAAATTTTCCTTAATCACTCTGTCATTTCAGATGTCTAAAATTTTAGCATCAGTCACACTCAGTAGCAGTTTTATTTTATAATTCTTGAAGAGTTATAAACTAGTGTTCTCTCTATTAAATTGTCATTTCTCTATTCTGCAACTGAGTCTTCTATTTTTCTCTCCTGTCCCCCTCTCTGATGTTTTCTCTACTTAACTGAAATCTATTGGGCAAATTATAATACAATAATCTTAAATTATTCTCTTAACTGGGATTAGAAAGAAAAATAATACTTTCTAACAGGTCTTCCACAATAAATATCTTACTGCTAAAAGCAAAACCTGAGTTCATGATCTGCTATTCTCTCATAAAAAGGTGGCCTTTACACAAATCAAGCTCTACCATGAAATATTCTGGGCCTTTTTTAAAGGAAAAAAAGAAAAAAAAAGATGAATTGTCATTACATGATGAAAAAATAATAGATCTGAGTAAAATTACTATATATTTAGCCTATACGGATCAATTTTATAAAATTGCTTGATAGTAATAAAATCTTCAAAGATCACTATTTTTATATGCAACAGAAAAGATTCATAATTTTTAAAAACATGAAATAACATATATATACACACACACACATATATATGTACAAGATAATAGTTTTGTCCACCTCAATAGCTCTCATTAGCTTCACTATCTTTCAAAAGTTCTGATTTCAAGTGGGGTTTGTTTTTTTTGTTGTTATTGTTAATTTAATAAATCCTACAAAGGTCAGGTTTATGGTCTTTAAGTGACATATGCCACAATCACCTTTACATGACTGTGTAAAAGTGGTTTTGCAATACCATAGCTTCTCAGACACCTGAGAACATGAATAAGCACACATTAACTGTGCAAGTATTTTCTAAAACTTACTGGTGCCTCTATCATATTGTGGCACCATCTGTTGGTTTAAAATACCTGCTGAAAATCTGAGATACAACTCTCCTACGGCTATGTTCTGGCTAAGCAGTGACATATGAAATAAGCGACATGTAATAAAATTTGCTGTTTATTAAAATGTTATGAGAATAAAATTTTTTAAGTGTTTCGAATTATTTTTATTATAATTGCGATTCAAGGGTTGTGAGGGACAGCAGGAAGTCTGGGCAGTTAGGGTTAAGGTATATCTTCATAAAAATTCCAACAGGATTCTAAGCCATCTATATTAAGCCTTTATTAACCACTGTAAAATACTGAGCTTAAATGAATCTTTGTTTTATGACCGGGGGATCTTGTGATTTCCTGACGTCAACATGCTGAATATCAGCTACAATTGCATGATAGTACTGATGAAAAACAAAAGACTGAGATGAATTTGTTTTAAACCTGAATCACAGCTTCAACATCACTCACGGAAGAAGGGAAGGCTTTTTTGTTATTAAGTCCAGGATATAATCTTACTTTTTAAGGATTTCTGTTTTTGTTTTAAGAGTAAAGTGCAGCAAAATCAAACTAACTGGGGGTTCTCAGTCAAGTTCTTATTAATTAGAATAAACCAAAACCAAAACTAAACCCCCACTGCCAGTGAGTCGATTCCAACTCACAGCGATGCTATAAGACAGGGTAGAACTGCCCCTCGGGTTTCCAAGGCTGTAAATCTTTAGTGAAGCAGACTGCCACAATTTTCTCCCACACAGCAGCCTGTGGGTTTGAACCGGTGATCTTTTGGTTCGCAGCCGAGTGCTTAAACCACTGCACCACCAGGGCTCCTTATTAACAAGAGTAGGCTGTAAAAATGACATGTACAGACATGAAAAGCTCAATTTTCTAAAGAAATAAAAAATTGCAATGTCTCCATTCAATCCTAAAAACTAGTAAATGCATCATAAATGCATCATTTTCCTTTTCTTTGCCAGTCTGCCACATTCTCTTAAGATTAATAGTGTTTAACAACGACAATAATGCATGTGCTGATTGTTAAGAATCTATTTTCTTCCAGGCTGAAGCAAAACTTGCATTTTCTCTATTTTGCACAAATGTCTCTCTCAATATTAACATTTCAAGTTTTTTTTCACAATGGAAGACCTAGAAATAAATACAAAAAAATCATGCTTTGAAAAGTAAGCCAAACAAAAAAATTAAAAAGATACAGAGACATTTCATTTAAGAAAAGGTCTAATATTTAAGTTCTGAGTGAAATTTTAAAACTTCTAAACATTTTATTCTTGTAAATCAATTTCAGACAGCAAACAGAACTTTGAGAAATATTTAAATAAATGTTTACCAGTTGCTTTTTGGCGAACAACGTTTCTTGCTTTCTCAACCCCCGGTGCTCCAGATGTGGTGGCACTCCTAAATCTCATTGGCTCAGTGGCATCTGGGTGGCTCCGCCAGCTGAGAGAAAAGGATCTCCCCACAGCAGTTCCTTTCTGAGAATCTAGAACACAGCCTGATAAAAGATAGGACAAGAAAAACAGTCCGCAGGCTTCACTAACATTCGTTTTGTAGCCTGTGTTGCTCAGTAAATGGTATGCATACAATTATATAATCAGCAGATTACTTTGTTGCAAGTCAGGTACCAATTTCTTATAATTTAGAAAGCTATTCATATATCAGTAATCTAAAAATTCCTGTTGCCAAAGTGTTTTTCAATAGTTTCATGAAAATTATCATATCTTCATAATACTTCAATATACAAAAGAATATTATTAATAAACCATTCTCAGTATAAGAACAATATCAAATGAAGATATGCCACTGTTCCCAGCACATTCCAAAAACCACCACTTACAAACCAAAAAATCAGAGATCCTGATGTTAGACTAGTACTCCATCCTGGACATGCCAAACCCCCCACCACACAAATTCCAAGAGAAATTCATGCTGACAAAGCTGAAAAGATTCAGTCAAATGAGGAAGGATAATGAAAATCTACAAATAACACAAAATCCTATTTTAGCACAGCTCCAAAGTAATAAAAAATTGCAACTCTGAGATTCAACTTTTTTTCTTTCATTTCACTCTGGTCAAAAATTTCAATGAGCTATCAAGGATCCAAAAGAAATAGAGGAGGAAGGAGGAGAGAGAGACTTCCACTCAGGAATCACGTGGCCAGTGGCTGTCACGTATGGTTTGTCTTCACACGCAGTCCCTCTGTGCATTTTGTTTCCACTAGTCTAGTGCTCAGAAGGCAAGTATTTCTATAATGAATATTTCAATCCTTTTTTAGAATAAAGCAATACAATAAATAAATCAGAAATACTTGCAACTGTTATTATTAAATTTATTCTGTACTGTTCTGAAAATACTGTTTTTGCATTGTGTTTTCTTTCAAAAGACAAGTCTATCTCTTCCCATGATTCTTTGTTTGTACAGAGGGAGGGAAGAGTAATTAGAATTTCTCCTCTATTCTGAAAGCACCCCTGGCAGGGTGCACTGCCTTCTGGGCTGAGAACCACAGCCTTAGTGAGCCAAATTCATGGACTGAGGCATCTTGAACCTCTCAGGCCCTGGGTTTACACAGGGACCTTAAGTGTTGCTGAGAGGGACAAGATGGAGGTCCAGGGGACCAGGCTCTTGGCTCCTGTCCCTACTTCAATCCAAAATCTCTAGTCTAATATATTTTTAGGAAGGGGCTCTGTACAGCTTCAACTGGGTTGGGGGCGGGGGAGATTTGCTGCTAAAAATATGTTAGGAAATCACTGCAGTACACAGTCTAAATCTAAACTGGTATTATAAACTTCCATTAGAGTGCCATATACTTAAAGCTACTTTGTTTTGGTTTCTTACTAACTTGCTTTTACTAATTAGTACTTTGGCAAGCCATTCTCAGACTGCAACAAAGATATTATAAAAATCAGTCATATTAATTACATGTTTAGATGGTTAATTAATTACTGTAATTTGTTCACACCTCCCTATATCCACATCCTCTGTCCATCCTCTCCCAAAGACTCTGGGCTTTGGCACATGACTGACTTTGGGGTAGTAAAACTGAACACACAGCCTTGAGATACACTCTAAAATATGGGCTTGCTCTCTTGCTGCTCCTGGAACTCTAAGCCATTATGTAAACCCGCCTGAGCTAGCTTGCTGGTTGATGAAAGACATGTACCCAGTCACCTCCACTGCACCAGTTGCCTGCCAGCCAGCCCTCAGAAGTAAGCTGCCAAGCCATCCACTTCACAGCCTAGCTGACTGCAAACATATGAGTGAGTTTAGCCAAAGCCAGCAGAAGAACTGCTTGCTGAGCCCAACCCAAATTACTAACTCACAAAATTATGATCTAAATAAATGGTTATTTTAAGCCACTAACTGTAGGAGTGATTTGTTACACAGCAAAGCTAACTGACACAGTCTATAATAAGACTATGGTTGAGGTGGTAGCCTACCACAGCAAGCAGTGTAACTTCTATGAGGCTTTTCAGGAGAAATTCCTCTCAAGTCTTAGGACCAGGAAAAGCTATGTATCATCTAAGCAAATGGACTACTGTTACCTTACCTACTCTGTGATTCTATTTGATGTAAGTCCTGTGAAGCTCAAGGTCCACTCCAACGTTCCCCACCTCCTCAGCAAGTGTATGAGACTCTCTGGCATGCACTGTGGCATTTTAACCAAATCCGTAGCTCCCCTCAATTTTGCCTCAACTACTTTCTTTCTTTACCTATTGCATTATATGCATTTTTATGTGCTGTCTCAAAATGTTTACAGAACAAGTTGGAGTACAAATGAATTAATCCAAGGCCTGTGTCATGGTCCCTAAAAACAGTAATGAAGGCAGGGAGATGCCAAATTGGCGTCTCCAAGAGAAACCACCACTGATATTTTCTATCTTGATCTGACTCTAGGTCTTAAAACAATTTTTCCCCAGAAACACAACAAAGCCAAACTGACTCCCATCTGAATCATTAAGAATTTTTCCACATGTTTCCTAGGGGGGCAGTAGAATAGATTTAATAGTGTGGAGTCTTGAGCTGAACTTGTCTAACTCTGATTCTGGTTTTACCACTTTTTAGTTATGTGACCGCGAATGAGTCAATCACCTTAAACTCTCTGTACTTTAGTTTCTTTGTCTGTGACATAGGGATAACAACAGCATCTACTTCACGGGGTTACCATGAGGGTGAAGAGAGATAATATGTACAAAGCACTAGCTATTATTATTACTACTGCTGCTGCTGTTACTATTACTACTACTACTTCTTCATCTTCCTCCTTCTTCCAAACCTTCTTCAGCAACTCACCACTCTCACTAAGGAGACACAGTGATATGAGACACAATCTAATACCACCATTCAAAAACATCATCTGTGTGGCTGGTTCAGTCATTATTGACCTTCATGCATTAATTGCTTAGATGTATAAATACACACTCCTCCACAGTGCCAGACAACTGGAGTTATCCAGAAAGAGTGGAAATACCTTTGCCTCTTTGCTTCTTTTCCTTTTGTTCACTTAATTTATCCAGAGGTAGGTTTGTCATCTCAACTCCATAAACAGTTCTTGCGAGCACTGCCGTTAAGGAGTCCATGATGTTGGCCCACTCGTTTATGAGCTCCTCCCATTCCGTAAGGGAAGATAGCACACCAAGAAAGTCATCCCAGAGCTCTCGAGAAATATACACACAGAGGTTTGCTCGGATCCAAGCCACGATGAGCGTCTAAAGCAAACCAACCAACAACAGAATTCAATCATCTTCATTCGGAAGAAGTATAACACTTAACAAAATACTTCAAATTACTCTTAATGAAATGAAAAGTAAAAAGTACTTTTAGATGTTGTCTTTCTTTCAATTTCACAAAATTCATTTAACCAACTGTTATCAGTATTTGAGCTACTGTGAAACTTGTTACTGTTATGAATAAAGCTACTACTCTAATATTATTTCAGTGTCTGTGGTTGGTCTGGCTATAATTAGGGAGAAGAGAAGGCCCACGTACCACAACTCTTCTGTTTCTTGACAAAACTCTTTCCTTCACTCTCCACAGTGGCTACTTCAAACCTCCTCCTCTATATGTAAACCTCTAACCCCAACAACTTCTTCCTAATTTCTAGTAAATGAACTCACTGCAGACTTTAGGGGAAATGGAAACCATTAAACAAGAACCCCCTCAACCTCTGTCCACAGACACGCACTCTTGTCCACATTCACACCCAGCTTCTCCTCCACCTGCTGGCTGTAATCAGAGAGGCTCTTGCTCACTACAGTGGCTCCCCACCTGTGCTCTGGACCCTTCCTCATGATTGAGCATTTCTAGTAAGCCCATCCCTCCTTTATCACCAACCTCTCCTACTTCCCAGGTCCTCCCCATCAGCATTTAAACAGGCTCAACTCTTCCTCATCTTAAAAAAACAAACAAAAGCCTTCCCTGGAACCTAGACTTCATGCTCTAGCTAAACCCTATCAGAGGGTTTCCCTCCCCTTTCAAAGCTGAAATTCTTAGAAGAATGTTCTATTCTCCATCTCCACTTCCTCAACTCCAAGGCGAGTCTCAAACAACTGCTCTGGTTTTCGCTCTTTTTGTGCCACTCCATTTTGCCTAAGGATCCCCGATGATGACGCAGTGGTTACAGCACTCGGCTGTCAACCTAAAGGTCAGCAGTTTGAACCCACCAGCTGCCTCCGCAGTAGAAAGATGTGGCAGTCTGCTTCTGTAAAGATTACAACCTTGGAAACCCTGTGAGCAGTTCTGTCCTACAGGGTTGCTATGAGTCAGAATTGACGGCAACAGATTATGGGATACACACACACACACACACACACACACACACACACACACACACACTCATACACACATATATATGCATGTATTTGTATGTGTATACACACACACATAACTTTTTTTTTCTTTAACATAAACACAAGAAAACTATGAGAAATACAAATCAGTCTATAATCAGGCAGACCTGTTCTGACCACTTGATACTTAAAGTGGTCCTTTTGCAATGTACCTGTTCTCTACATTTCAATTCATGTATACTGTATTTTAACATTTTACAGGGGTAAAAATGTTAAAGTAGAGCTAAAGTAGTTAAGTATATTGAAAACAAGATTTAAACACTCATATTTAAATATCTGATTCTAAGATAAACAGATTTTTGAAAATTAAGAACAATGAGAAAGAAAAAATTAAAATAATTTCAGTATGACAAATAATTTTTATTGTGGAAAAAAAAAAATCAGTTGACCATAGGTGTATGGGTTTATTCTGGACTCTCAATTCTATTTCACTGGCCTATGTGTCTATTGTTATACTAGTACCAGGCTGTTTTGATTACTGTAGCCATATAGTATGTTTTAAAATCAGGAAGTATGTGTCCTCCTACTTTGTTCTTCTCTTTCAACATTGCTTTAGCTATTCCAGGCCTCTTGTCATTCCATATAATGTTGAGGATTGGTTTTTCTATTTCTGTAAAGAAGTTTGTTGGAATTTTGATTGAGATTGCATTGAAATCAGGAAACTAGGGAAACAATTCTATTTACAATAGCATCTAAGAGAATAAAATACCTCAGAATAAATCTAACCAGAGACATGAAGGACTTATACAATGAAAACTATAAAACACTGCTGAAAGAGATTAACGAAGGCTTAAATAAATGGAAAGATGTTCCATGTTCATGGACTGGAAGACTCAATATTGTTAAGATGTCAATACTACCCCAAAGCAATCTATAGATTCAATGTAATCTCGACCAAAATTTCAACAGAGCATCCTTTTAATAAATTACCTTTAAGAGGAAGAGGGAAAGAAAGAACCCTAGACTCTTGGTTCTGCCACTAATTTGGTTTATGACCTTAGCCAAGTCACTTGGCCTTTCTGGGACGCACATTTCTCTTTTAAAAAAAAAAAAAAAAAAAAAAAGAGTTGAACAAGATCATCTCCAAGGTTCCTTCGGTGCTGAAATTTAATGTTTTATCATGTATGTCTTGGTAAACAAGCTGTATACATAAACACCTTAGCTCATGAACACGCCTTTCTTACATACATTTGCAACCAACCACTTTCTACATTTCTCCACTCACCACATTTAATGGGACTATATAATTTTAAAAGAATGGCTCATCCTATAAATAGAAGGTTCTCTGGTAAACCTTCAGAGCTTAAAGCATAAGATTACATTTAACACTAACAACAGATTAAAACATCATTTAGGGCAATCACCCTAGGGGAAAGGAACATCCCCTTATTGGCAAATATTTAAAATGAACTAAAACTCAACCACCATTTGAAAGAAATTTGCCAGCTCAGATTATCTACTGACAGCGAGAAAATAAATACTACAGCAAAAATTAGAAAAAGATAAAAGAATAATAGCAACTTAAAATTTCCTGTCCCCTTTAGCCATTTCCTTATGCAAATTAAAGACAAAAAATTCAAGTATCTCACAATTTTAGATAGTCTTCATTACCAAATGAATACTAACTAGGTAACATTTAAGTTTCAGTATGGGACTAACATGATGCCCACTTGATAGCTGGCAAATCTGTTCAGAACTTTAACATTTTTCTCTCCCCTTGGATCTCACAAAAGGACTTGGCAGGTCAAGAGAGATGATGGTAAATTCCAAATGAATCTGCTCTGGTCCTTATGACAACCCTGCAATCCTCTCTTGTTTGGCAGATGAGGAAAGAGATTCAGCAAGGTGAACTGATCTGCTCAAAGCCACACAGCCAGGAAGTGGCAGAGCTGAGAATTAGAACTGAGAACTATCTAACTCCAAAAACCTCATCCTCTTTCCACTGTTATATGGTTAGGTCTTAATCTGAACATCCTTCTGGATCTATCTAACCATTGCCAAAATAATAACAACATCAAAATAATAATCATAAACTCAAAATGAATCTTCAGGTAAGCTCTGACAAAATTTCTCCATTAATGGAGGATTTTTTCCCCCGAAACAGAAAATAAACAAACAAAAAACACAACACAACTCCAGAACAGATTCTTGCTTAAGTGCTCTCTCTAATTCCAACACACACAACAGATAAAGGGCCAGACAACTGGTGAGGAACAAAGCCCAGGCACTGGCCAGCCTGCAACTGGCTTCAGCTCCTCCCCAGCTGGCAGCCCAGTCCCATCAGGGACAGGCACTCAGGTAGGTGCCAATGCTGAGACTCTCCACTGACAGAGTAGAGTCAGCAAAGTGTCCGTATGTCACCCCTGAGCAATAGCAAAGCAAAGCTGGATCCAATAACTAGGTAAGGCAATCAGTGTAAAACTGATTATAGTATTTGGGGCAAGTGAGTACATGCCAATTATCTTTGTAGCTTCTTACACATTTTTCATCAATACCAAGATCATTCAGTCATATTCAATTATTAAAAATAATATGAACAGTTGGGTTCTCTTTTGTTAAAATGGGAATATTTCCTTTTATTGAATTAACATCTCTGTCGCCTTCACCTACATATCCTGTCTGTATTCTAGATATGCTCTGAATATATAGCCTCTAAAGCCATCCAGTCAACTGAGGAGGGAAGCTAGCTTCTCTTGCCTGAAGCCATCACTTCCAGCTCATGAACCACCATGCTTTCTCTTAGCCAGTTACTCAAGGTTAGGTCCATCCATCCCAATGACTTTATCTGTGTAAAATGTCACATTTTTTCCAAGGCCCTTTCACACTGTTCTCTTTCAGAACTTCGTCATAAATTTTATGCATCCCATAGATATTAGTGCTTTCTAGATCAATGCTGCAATAGGCTTCTGCCCTCAGAGTCGTTTAAAACCTCCACTTTCCTAGGCACTTCATCATCTGCCTCTTTTCTTTCCCTCATGGTAAGATCTGTGTTAACAATCTTCCCGACTACTCATGTCCTTGACCATTCTCACCATGTGAGATTCAGGAAAAACAACCACATCGTTGGCTTTTTGCTCCCACCTACGGCCAGCCAGTCCTCCCCACCTTATCCAGGACTTCACTTCTGCAGTTATCTTCTCTCTCCCCCAGACTATACTTACTACCTCTACTGCCCGGCTCTCATTTTCTCTTCCATCCACTCCAAGTGGGTCACATTCCCCTAAAACATTCTCAACCACCTACATCTTGTCAAAGCCAATGGTCACCTGCCTGTTCTCCTCTTACCCAACACCTTCCCCAGGCATCAAGATACACACTCCTCTGGTTTTCCTCCTACCTCACTGGCCACCCCTTCTCAGCATCTTGGGCTGGGTCCTTCTCCTTCACCAATCATGTACATGTCCTCTTCTCTCTTTTACATATATTCTTTCCTAGGTAATCCCATCCAATCCTGTGCTTTATATATCCTAACTACACATCCAACAGCTCTTGCACTTTTACTTCTATCCTGCATTGCTCCCAGAATTATTCTCATTTCCATGCTTCTTCCATCCATCATCTTCTTTACATCTTCAAATCTACCTAGCTAGTCACCAAGGTCATCAGCTCTTTTCATCTTCCTAATTTCTACCAACCTCAAGCAAATCAAAGAGGAAGTAGATGGTAGAGAGCTGGGGAAGACTAAAAGAAGTCCAGCACTGATTGCAAAGAACAGATCACAACCTTCAGGACAAAGTTAAGAAGGAAAATTTCTAGAAATTTAAAGTCAATTTAATGTTATTCTTAAAATTTTCAACGATTAAAACTAATTTGCTGTAAAATCTGATTCATTTATTTACATTTTCAGTGTTTTAATAAAAAAGACTTACCCTAAATAGTAGCCCCGACAAGCTCTGGGCAAACAAGTCCTTTATTTGTTTATCCTTTGGCTTCTGCATGACAGCTTCTGTTATCCTGAGTAGTATTTGCAACATCTGTTCCCTAGGCCATCCAAAACAAAAGCTTATATTATTAATTACATCTCCAAAGCACTTTAACTTATAGGTACAAGAAATTCTCCCAAGAATTCAGCAACAGTGATAATCATGTATTACTCAAAAGTATTAAAAAGCTGCATGCCAATTATATAGTTAATACTGTATTTTACCAAAATAGGCTAACTTATGTTACGACAGTTCTAAAAATATGCCTCCTATGACCACATCAATAGGCAGGATAAAACAGGACACCATCCCAGCCTTGACTGTCTCCCCTTGGCAAAAAGGGAGGCAGGATTTTCTCCAACTGTGCAGAACCTTATAGTAACTCAGGGAACATCTGAGCCTGTCTGAACTTATGTGGAACTCATGTGGCACTTTAATTTTCACATCTATTATTTCACTTGATTTGTAAGGTCTCCCTATCTATCTTTGTGATAGAAAAAAAATAATGACTTTCTGGTCTTTATTCTGGGGACATATGTAGTCAGCATTACAGCACAATCAATTTTATGGGAAAAAAAAGTTCTGTAAAGTATATGAAGCACTACAGAGACAAAAATAACACTGCTAATTACAATAATAAGTCCTTTAGAACCGTTAAAGGGCACTTCCTTTCTTTCAGCTAAGTGCTATTCCCGTCAGACTGCCAGCTCACTTTTTCTTTTTCTGGACGCCATGGAAACAGCGAATGCGTTATCTTGTGTATATAAGGGAAGTCCGTTTGTTCCCGGAGGGCAATCACCCTGTTCCTTTTAACGTCTCATTTGTTCATCTTCATACCTTTCTCCTTTGCCTTACTGCTCCTTAGTGATAAACTGGAGAACTGACAAGGTAATCCAGCCCAGATCAGATACTGAGATGTGTACACTGTAGTTCCTTTATACCTTCCTCACATCTCTGCATTGCAGAACACTCCTCTCTCTTAACAATACAGTGTGGACTCTCATTAAACTTCTTACGCTATAATGACCTCTAGGGATTTTCTGCCCTATTTGCAGCCAACCCCACTAGATTTTCCCACCTGGATTCTCAGCTGGCATACCCTCACTGCACTCTCTCCTACTTGTCTGCTTGTTTCAGTACACTGCTACAGATTCTGGACACATGCAAGGGGAAGGGCAATCAAGTCACATGCGATCTTGGCAGTGTGCGTGCAGCCCGATGGAGTGGAGAAGAAATGGCTCCGAGCTGCGGACAGCTTTCGCTCACCATCTGCGTGCCTGGTCCCTGTCGTGTACAGAAGGGTCACCAAGGCCTGATCACATTATGTGATTCTAAAGGAAACAAAAAACAATCCCTTCCCTACAACAACTGACTTCATATCCATGATGTGAACACAACGGGAACAAAAAACATAATTTTCAAATAAAACCTTGGTCATGGGAAATGCGATCAAAAAAAGCAAACCTGACCAAAGCAATGACTGACAAATACACAGAGTTAATTCAATTTCAGAACCTATGAAAACTTGGAAAGCAACAGAATTCCCATGCAGTCTTCTGGAAGAAAATGTGGGTGAAAAAACTGCCTCCAGTTTGAAAAAATGTTGTTTACCAAGAGAAAGGATACAAACTGACAGGCCGCCAGCTTTAACCTCAGCTTGTTCCTTTCTATTTCGTGAAACACTGGCTTCTGGCAACTCAGAGAAGACTGAAGAGTTGCAGCTTCTGCAGGAGCACGTGGAATCAGGAGCATGTGCCATCCTTGTGTCTTTGTTATTTACTTTATCACCATTTTCTCACACTCACGATATCCTTACTAACTTATACATCAGTTACTTGCTGTTTGAGAACTACTTCTTAACACCTCCCTGGGTACTGCCCTGGCCTAAGCCACTACCCTCGAATGCCAGAGACTCTTTACACCAACCCACTGCCTCTTCACCTGGCACCAGAGAGTTTTTCGGAAAGATAAATCACATCACGTCATGCTCTTGCTCAAAACCTCCCAGCAGCTTCCCAGCACACAGAGTGGTAGCCTGCAAGTCCCCACGCAGCCCGGCCCTTGCCCGCCCCTCTGACCTTCTCTGCTCCCACTCTCCCTCATACTCCATCCACTCCAACACAGTGGGTGTCTTGTTCTTCCTGGAACACACCACCCTTTGTACTTTTCCCCATCGGGGCTTTTGTACTTGCTGCTCCTTCTCCCAGGAATGCTCTTCCCTCAGACCTCCCTTCACTCAGGGCTCTCCCCAACTGCTTCTCCCTTGGAAAAGCCTTCCCTGACAACTGACAAAATAACTCCTTCCCTCAACCCTGAGCAACACCCACCCAACTCAGGAAGCTCTCTTTCCTTATCCAGCTTCACTGTTGTTCTTAGCACCTAATACTACCTGAAATTGTGTTATGTGTATTATGTCTGTCACTCCTATGAGGCTGTAAAGTCCATGAGGGCAGTGACTTGTCTATCTCCTTCACCACTATATCCCCATAGTAGGAGCTCAGCAGTTATTCACTGGATGGAAGGAAGGGAAGGAAGGAGAGGAAGAGAGGGCAATGCAGGAATTGTCTGGTACTTAAAAACGTTAAAAAAAATCTGCTGGAGGAATAGGTTACATCCTTTTCTATTCTCCACTGACTTTTTTGGTGAATATTTTCATCCATATCTATAATCTGTTTTTTTATACTTTTACCCGGGGATCTCTGAATTATTAAAGAATACAGTAGAATTGTTTAATTTTATTTTCTAGGGTTTTCACAGAAGAATTTTCAAAGTAAAAAAATTAAAATAAAAAATAAAAAATACTACAGATACATCTGTGGTATAGAGCAGCACATAACTCAGTTGAATGCATACCAACATTTTGTACTTCTTTCAATATTACTGATGCTGCATTTAACTTCATTTAAATCATATTCTTCAACAAGTAATATTTTCTGGCTTTAACAATTGCTTAGAACTTGGCATACAGTCGTAAGTTTAGAACTCTGGGAAAGATGACACTGGATTTACATCTTAAAATAAAATTTACACTGGAACTTGACACTGTGGTTTCTGAATTTGTGAACTCTCTGTGTAACGTAATTTGTCTGGGCCCACCCTTTCCTCAATGCCCGGAAGTCCCTTCCAGCTCAGACACGCCTTGTTTCTATACGTCTCTGCCAACTGCAAACAGACTCCTCATAAAGCACCCTAGTGCTGTCTCTGGCAACCCTGGTGGCATAGTGGTTAGGAGCCACAGCTGCTAACCAAAAGGTCAGCAGTTCGAACCTACCAGGTGATCCTTAGAAACCATATGGGGCAGCTCTACTCTGTCCTATAAGGTCGCTATTAGTCAGAATCAACTCGATGGCAACAGGTTTTTTTTTTTAGTGCTGTCTGTAGGACATGCAGAAAGGGCACCAAGAATATGGGTGTGGTGCACAGGCCCCCAAAGGAGTCCAGAGGGAAGAGTGGTGGCACCTCCCATGTGCAGTGGGTACGGTGGACTGAGCATAGGGGCAGAGATCACCAAGAGGATGCTGCCAACCAGCCGGACAAGCACTGAGGGCAGCTTGTTTGCAGTAGGGAGCAGCTGAGTGGGAGGAACACAAGAAGGCAAGATCTGAGAGCACACCGTTTAAGATGCATGGAAGGAAAAGGAAGAAGGATGAAGTGCTCTGGTCTGATTGCTGAGAACCACTGGAAACACCTCATAAGCTGGAGTGATGGGATGACATTCATTATGGGGTAAGGGCTATGGGAAAAATCTAACCTAAAGGTTGTTAACCTTTAGGGCTAGTTCCTCCAGGGGTATTATAAACACAGAAACATCAATGAAGAATAGAAAAGAAAAGGCTTTGTGTGGGCATATTTTAATGATGCCACTGTATTTTTGATTGCACTGTTTTGGGTCACTTTGAGAATGTATCATTTAAAATAATTATTTTCCCAAAATGAATTTAAAACTTCAAATTTTAAGCAATAAAAATCAGTTTCCAGTAGTTGGGGACAATTAACAAATTATTCTGGGCTTATGAAGTATACTTTAAAATACCAGTTACTACTTTTCCACAAAACCACATTTGATGACAGTTTAAAATGGAAAAATCTATTATTAAGTCATATGACTACTTACTCTTAATTCAAGAACACTTTTAGCACCAGTAATGAAAACAAATGATCAAGGTACTGGGTACTTACTTTTTTCATAATTCACAAAAACTATTACAAACGATTGATTATCATCTTACTGTTAATTTTATAAAGCCATTTAATAAATGTAAGCTTTAACATTTTAATTACTATGTTAAAAAGGAGAAACATCTGTTTTACAATATTAACTTATGAAATAAACTCACCATGTCTTTTGATTCATTGTAAGCTCCATTATCATGCGCCTAAAAATAATCAAAACAGCTTTACAAGCATCAACTTGTTCTTTCAAGAGCATGGGAACTTCAGCACATGGTTCCAGCAAAAAGACATTTGCAGCGTTCGTCAAAAATACCTTAAAACCAACATTAGAAAACAGTGAAACATAACAATCTGAACAAATTGTGCTTAAAGATCATACTATAATTCATTCCACCAATGAATCATCTTTGAGTTGTTTCAAGACAGATTCTGTTTCTACAAGGCAAGTGGTACCAAAATATACTCAAGATTTTTTTAGTTCACCCCTTAGGATCACTTAAATACTGAGACACCTGAAAGGCCTTTTACATTGCAACTTTAGAAACTTCATGAATCAGGAAAGCTTTTGAACACTTCTTTTTGACATCTCCTCAAAAAAAAAAAAAAAAAAAAGAAGGGGTAGGGAAGAGAAAAAAAGATAGAATCATTGCCTCTGAGTGAGAAACTATGAAGTGGGGGAAGAGAAGGAGAAAAGGACCCGGGCCCAGAGAGTGGCCAGAAAGCACTGTGACCATCACTGAATTTTCCAGCACAAGAGTCCCTTGCTGACAGTAAGCATGATCAGCTCACGGGAGCAATGGTGAGCCAGGAAACAGACAAAGCCCCATGATCGACACTGCATATCTTCCAGGAGTGTATTTTTTTAATATGAGAAACACATGATGTAGTAAAATACAAAATACAAATAAATTCTTAAGATAAAATCTGAGACCTCAAAAAATATTTAGATAACCAGCCGACCACTCTATGCTTTGCTCCAGATCTTCAGGATTAAGTTCACTGTCCTCTGTCATCAGGGGTATTTCAGGAGAAAAATGGAACCATATGCACCTGATCTGACTTACCTACAAATTCCACTTAAAGACTTAAAGATACAGTTAGGAATGGATCTCATTGGTAACCCGGGAACTATCTGTACTGGATACAACGAGAACAAAGTGGCCTTTTAAATGCAAACTAAATACTTTTTAAAAACTGCAGGGCTATCAAGTAGAATATTGTTCTCTTAGTTCATCCAAGTAAATGTAACTTATCCTTACAGAAAACAAATAATACTCTCTGAATCCCGGGAGATAACTGGCAATACAGGCATATCTCATTTTATTGCTTCTTGCTTTATTGCGCTTCACAGGTATTGTATTTTTTTTTTCAATTGAAGGTTTGTGGTAACCCTGTGTCAAGAAAGTCTATCGGCACCATTTTTCCAACAGCATTTGCTCACTTCGTGTCTCTGTGTCACATTTTGGTAATTCTCACAATATTTCAAACTTTTTCATTATCATTATATCTGTTATGGTGATGTGTGACCAGTGATCTTTGAGGTTACTACTGTAATTGTTTTGGGGTGCCACAAACCACGCCCATATAAGACAGCAAACTTAATCGATAAATGTGTGTGTTCTGACTGCTCCACCAACTGGCCATTCCCCCATCTCTCTCCCTCTCCTTAGGCCTCCCTATTCCCTGAGACACAACAATATTGAAATTAGGCCAATTTATAACCCTACAATGGCCTCTAAGTGTTCAAGTGAAAGGAAGAGTCACGTGTCTCTCACTAAATCAAAAGCTAGAAATGATTAAGCTTAGTGAGGAAGGCATGTTGAAAGCTGAGATGAGCCAGAAGCTAGGCATCCTGTGCCAAACAGTTAGCCAAATTGTGAATGCAAAGGAAAAGTTCTTGAAGGAAATTAAAAGTGCTACTCCAGTGAACACACAAATGATAAGAAAGCAAAACAGCCTTATTAGCTAATATGGAGAAAGTTTTAGTGGTTGGGATAGGAGATTAAACCAGCCACAACATTCCCTTAAGCCAAAGCCTTACCCAGAGCAAGGCCCTCACTCTCTTCAATTCTGTGAAGGCTGAGAATGAGGAAACTGCAGAAGAAAAATTTGAAGCTAGGAGAGGCTGGTTCATGAGCTTTAGGAAGTCATCTCTATAACATAAAAGTGCAAGGTGAAGCAGCGAGTGCTCATGTAGAAGCTGCACAGGTTATCCAGAAGAGCTAGTGAAGATAACTGATGAAGGTGGGTACACTAAACAACAGATTTTCAATGTACATGAAATAGCCATATATTGGAAGATGCCATCTAGAACTTTCATAGCTAGAGAGGAGAAGCTTCAAAGGCTTCAAAGGACAGGCTAATTCTCTTGTTAGGGGCTAATGCAGCTGATGACTTTAAGTCGAAGCCAACACTCATATAACATTCTGAAAATCCTAGAACTCTTAAGAATTACGCTAAATCTACTCTCCCCGTGCTCTATAAACGGAACAACAAAGTCTAGATGACAGCACATCTGTTTACAACGTGGTTTACCAAATATTTTAAGCCCACTGTTAAGTCCTAATGCTCAGAAAAAAAGATTTCTTTCAAAATATTATTGCTCAATGACAATGCACGCAGTCACCCAAGAGCTCTGATGGAGATATACAAGGAGATTAATGTTGTTTTCATACTTTCTAGCACTACAGCCATTCTGCAGCCCACAGATCAATGAGTAATTTCGACTTTCAAGTCTTATTATTTAAGAAATACATTTCCTAATGTTATAGCTGCCATATATAGTGATGCCTCTGATGGATCTGGCAAAGTAAATTGAAAACCTCCTGGAAAGGACTGACCATTCTAGATGCCATTAAGAACATTCGTGATTTATCAGAGGAGGTCAAAATACCAACACTAACAGGAGTCTGGAAGAAGTTGATTTCAACCCTCATAGATGACTTTGAGGGGTTCAAGACTTTGGTGGAGGAATTAACTGCAAATGTGGTAGAAATAGCAAGCGAACTAGAATTAGAAGTGGAGTCTGAAGATGTGACTGAATTGCCGCAATCTCATGATAAAACTTTAATGGATGAGGAGTTGCTTCTTATGCGTGAGCAAAGAAAGTAGTTTCTAGAGATGGAATCTACTCCTGGTGAAGACGCTGTGAAAATTGTTGAAATGACAACAAAGGATTTAGAATATTACATTAACTTAGTTAATAAAGCAGCCACAGGGTTTGAGAGGACTGACTCCAATTTTGAAAGAAGTTCTACTGTGGGTAAAACACTATCAAACAGCATCACATGCTACAGAGAAATCTTCCATAAAAGAAGAGTCAATCAATGCAGCAAATTTCATTGTTATCTTATTTTAAGAAATTGCCACAGCCACCCCAACCTTCAGCAACCACCACCCTGATCAGTCAGCAGCCATCAACATCTAGGCAAGACCCTCCACCAGCAAAAAGATTATGACTTGCTGAAGGCTCTGACGATGGTTAGCGTTTTTTAGCAATAAACTATTTTTTAATTAAGGTATGTACTTTTTTTTAATACATAATGCTATTGCACACTCAAGGGACTACAGTATAGTTTAAACATTACTTTTATACACACTGGGAAACCAAAAAATTCGTGCGACTCGCTTTACTGTGATGGTCTGGAACCAAGCCCGCAGTATCTCTGAGGTATGCTTGTACCTGTCTCCTGTCCCTGCCCACCATGACGCTGGCAGTCCCCTCTGAGAGAGTGCGCTGCTGAGGAGCACGAGACGGGGACTCCTCTAGGTATTTCTCCAGTGGGGAAACAGGCTAATTTATGAGCTGCACCAGAGATCTTTGAAGCTGCTCAAGTAAAACTGTCTTGATTTTAAAAAGTTAATTTGAAAGTATTTGCTGATTTTCAATGAAAAATGGGAAAACTTATTAGTTACAGTATACGAAACTAATTAACTTGGAAACAAAAAGGATACAATAATAATTAACCCATCAAGAGACAGATGACAGAACACGACGTCATCAAGAGCTGAGCAAACTACCTACCTCGCACATGCTTTCCCCAGACTCCAAACCGGGTCTCTGCCTGGAAGGCCTAACTGGACACAGCTATGAACTTGGGGGTGGGTGGCATGGAGCAGGGGAATAAGAGGCACCTGTGTTTTCACTTATACTCCTAATAACCTTCAAGCTGGATCAGACTCAAAAGGTAATCTCCCAATCTCCATTTTTGAGAGAAAATTCTGAGGTCTGGGAAGGTTAAGATCAGCCAAAGTTGCTCTTCCCAATGTTCCCAGTAGGTATCGGTTCTATTTCATATATTCATTCATGTAAACATCTAAAAACTACAACATTAATCATTGCTCTTCATAGACATGCAGTCAGATGAATAAATATTGCCTTACAATAGGCAATTTTCAAGAGAACTATTACTCAAAAGCTTATATAATCACCAAGCTTGTCTTGCAAATGAGAGCCCATGTATCTACCCACATGTATCCTGTATACTTTTAAGATGCAATCTCCATCATTTCACATTCGCTGTATAGAAATCCTTCTCAAAAAATTACAACCAGTTCTTGTCTCCTTTAACTAGAAAAAACCTTTAACAATTGTACATGGGAAATTAGAAGAAAACTTGGAATGAAAATTTAAGAGCTATTTACCAACAGATGGCTAAAAATATTGCCACACTTATATCATGTTATTATGCCCAAGAAACACAATGTTTACAGTGACCCCAATCGGGGGTCTCGTGTCTCTGGCCTGGCAGCGTACCTGCAGCATAACCTGGGCACCGGCTTTCACGTTACTTTCCTCTTCCAGTACACAACCTCTGCTCACCGCACTCGTGAAGGAGTATGTTCGCCCCCAACTGGAGGATCGCTTATGACCAGAACTTTCAGAGCAGGCCTTTAGAAAGGAACAACCAGTTAAAAGAGTGGCATGAATCACAAGTTCACAATTTCTTAACACTCAGTAGAATTCATGAGAATACAGGTTCTAGGAGGGCAAGGCCTTTTTTCTGTTTTGTTTACCACTCTCCCTCCAGTACCTAAAATATAAATGTCCAGTGACTGAATGTGCACAGAGCACACCTTTAAAACTGTGATGAAGTCCATTTGCTTACCTATTCAATTTGATCTCGTGACTAGTCATTAAAATGATATCACCCAAAATCGAAAAATTAAAATTACAGAATACAGATATTTAGAAGCATATGTCTTCATTAAAAATATTTTTAAATGTTTGTTAATTGCCATGACAAACATCCACTTTTAGAAATAATTTCTCAGACTAGATTTCAAAATAGCATGCCAGAAATATAAACACGACATAATTTCTTTTGTGTTTCGGGAAGCTGTCCCACTGTTGTTTTACATTTATCCTACCTCTAGCTCTATCTAACATGGAAAATAAAGGATCAATTCTGATAGCACCCACTCTGGAGGACAGCGCCCAGTCCTGCAGGGAGGCCAACAGTGGAGATAACCATTAGGCAACAGTCCTTTCAAATGTGTAACAGCCCAACTGCCTCAGGCACAGTCCACTGCACAAGAGAAGTCTGTCAAAACATTCCAAACTTCTCCAGTGCTGCTTATTTAAACATCCCAAGAACAAGGCAGTGACATTTTTAGTCTCACTCAGAGACGTGGAATGTATGATGGTTTATGAAGCACCTCTCATATGATAATTACTAACCAAGCTGTAATGCACATGTGGCCCTAGACTGATGGTTTGGAGACGGCACTCTCGAGTAGAGCACAGACGGTGCCTTAGTGAGGCAGGTCGTCACAGAACTGAGCAACATGAGAGCAGCAGATCTGATAAAAAAGAGTCAGTCTGCCTGTGTCCCACACACTGAGCAGGTATGCTCTGCTAATATATATACTCCCAATTCAAATGATAAGTGATCAAATATTACCTCCTTGCTAGCAGTCTCTGAAAATCCTAATTTTTCAGCATCTTCTTGGGCAATATCTTTTTTATCTGGCTCCTCCATGAACACAGGTTTCTCCTGAAGGATCCACTTTCTGTATACTTGAACTACTTTTCTTGTTACGGCTATATCACAGGAAGGCAGCAAAAATGCCTAAAAAGAAAAGAGAAAACTCTGTTGAACCCCACGCAAGCTCAGATCACAATACAGCCACACATAACAGACATTTCGAATTACCGTAACTGATTTCAGACTTTCCTTTGAAACCTGTGAATATACATACAGGGCCACATGTCTTTGTGTACAACAAAATAAAGTGAAGAAAAAAAATTCTCATAATTGGGACAGAAAACGTAATGCAGTTTATAAATAACTTCTATATTCTGAATCTATTTTTTTCCACAAAAATAATCAAAATGCACGCATCTATAGATAGTTTGGGGCTCTGGTGGCACGGCAGTTAAGAGTTCAGCTGCTAACCAAAAGGTCAGCAGTTGGAATCCACCAGCTGTTCCTTGGAAACCCTACGGGACAGTTCTACTCTGTCCTATAGGGTTGCTACGAGTCGGAATCAACTCAATGGCAACAGGTTCGGTTTGGGTTTATAGGTAGTTTAAAGGAGCCCTGGTAGCATGATGGTTAAGCATTCAGCTGCTAACCAAGGGTTGGCAGTTTGAACCCACCAGTGGCTCTGTAGGAGAAAAGACCTGGCGATCTGCTTCTGTAAAGATTATAGCTTTAGAAACCCTGTGGGGCAGTTCTACTCTGTCCTGTAGGGTCTTTATGAGTTGGAATCAACTCGACAGCACAAAATAACAACAACATAGATAGTTTAACGGGCTACATAAAGCATGTAGTTGTAGAAAAGGGAATTTTTCCCGAAGAATAAGGAACAGACTATAAGATAAAAGGCATACTAGTACAGCCAATGGTAGCCAATGGCACATCTCTCCACGTTCAGTGATGGCACCTTGGAGCTTGGGTTGGCTGTGCCGGCCATGCCTATTACACCATGGAAGTAGGCAAATGCTACAAACCAGGGCTTTTCCCCTCACTCCCTCCCTGCCTTTCTTTTTGAGAGCCAGTTGTTCAACATTTACCAGCACACCACTGAGTACAGCTGCAATGTTATCAAGAGCCACTGGCCAGTTGTCTATCACTGTGCATATTGATACGACCTTTTAACATTAAGGCATCCCCTTATACATCTGCACACAAGAACTCTGATTTAATGCAGTAAGACTCCAAAAACGTAAACCAAAATACAAAGGGGAAATGAATTTGCCTTTTGAGTATCAGTTTTAAGTAATTATTTCTGTATGAAAGATGAATACCTAGGACAGGTACTTTATGAAGTACCTCAACACCCACATGAAGGTTTTACCCCACAGATGAGGACCCAGAGGCTCAGAACACCTGAGATACTTTCCCCAGGCTACAAAGCTAGTTGGTGACAAATCCAGGTCTTGATCTCAGGTTTCAGAGATTTGTTTTAATGCCATCCTTAAGTCTCATGCCACAGAATCCAGTTACAGGCTGACTTCATTGCAGGGAGGGTTCATACAACAGATAAATTTCTATAATAGAGGAGTTCATGCTATAACAAGACTGCAACGTATCTATGTATCAAATATTCTGAACTGTACCTCAACAAAGATCAACAAAAGACAAAGAAAAATATGACAAAGTACAAAACTATCCCATTCTAATGTTTTTCCAAAATTCTATTACATTAGTTTTCACACATTAAAAAAAGCTGAAAGAATTTTACAGTGAACATCCATATACCCAACACCTACATCTACCACTAGCATATTGCTGCATTTGCTTTATCACATATCTATCCATCACTCCACACCTCTACCTGTCCTTCCTTCAGTCCATTTGGGACTCCCATAATGAGTATGCTGTTCCACTCGGTACTGTCCCACAAGTCCCTTAGGCTCTGTTCACTTTCCTTCATTCTTTTTTCTTTTTGCTCCTCAGGCTCGATAAATTCAATAGTCCTGTCTTCAGGTTTTCTATCTCTTCTGTTAGCTTGTCAGCAAACTCCTCTAAGACTCTGGGAATACCAGCCTTAGGCTCATCTTTGCTATGTTTACTTGTTGATAGGTGTTCAGGAATGGCCTTGTTCCCATCTATCTCTGGGTTTGCAGTTTGTTATAGAAGTTTCCCTCCACATGTAAGAATTTCTCAAAAACAAAACCACAACACAACAAATTAAAGGTAGGATTAGAGGGACGATTTTTCAGTTCTGTAATATAGTCCAACTCATCAATAGTATCACTTGGAATATTACAAGTAAAAGAACAAAACAAGAAAACCTCTTCAGTTTCATAAACTTACAGTACACATGCACACACTAACCTGGCGAAATACTTCATTGACAAAATTGACGTAATCTCGCGTTGACAGGAGAATCTGTTGTACCATTTCATACACCGTTCGGTGCTCTTCTTCAATGCTACAAAGACTGGCGTTACTGAATCTTCTGTCTGACAAGGTGCTACTGTTAGAATGGTTTCTGTCCTGCTCTGCAGGCACACCACCATCCAACTCCGGCCCTCTTTCTGGCACCACGCCACCACCAACAGTCTGCAAGAAAGTCATCACCACTTCTAAGTCAACTCTCAAGAACATTTGGCAAAATTTAAGACTCGGCTTATTTTAAAGAACGCTGGTGACCATCAACTTGCACAGTGCAAGCAAGCTGAAGACAGCACTGTCTGAAGCATAGCTGACTCCAGGACCTGTACTTACCTATTTTCTAACTCACCTTAACCCCTGCCCAACTCAGTTATTTTAACAGGAAAACTACTAAATTATTGGGAAGGAGCTGTGAAATTTTATCAACCTAAAAAGCTTAATTTATATCTGTAAGATCACAGAATAAATTAATGTGCAAATGCACTTGGATTATCATCACATTAGGTCTCTACCCTTCCACATTTACTCAACGGTCACAGAGATCGGAAAATTCCTCTGCAGCCCCAACACTGGGAAGCATCATTTCATTCCTAAGACTAAGTGGCACCTTGATCAACAAGTGCCAAGATCTTTAAGGGTATTTTATGAGAAGAATCCTGATCTGAGTTTTATAGTCAGACTTTCAGGTCAAACTTACTAAACTATTTAGAAAACTTTAAATATTTAGGAGACTTTAGAAGTGAAAAATAATAACTCATACAATGACTCACAAAAAGTTTAAGATTAACATTGATTTCTGCTCTTATTTTTCCATGGACTTAAAGGTTTTCTCCAGACATAAAATATGTAAAATTATGCTTCATTTTTGTAAATTCCATTATTATCCTTTTAAATGCCAAAAATACATAACCTAAATACCACTAAAAATCTACTCACTGTGAACATTTTTTACAAGAAATAATACGAGTAGTATAAAATAGTAATTTCAGTAACTACCAAGGACAGTGTGAAAGCAAAACAGGTATCTAAATAGTAATCGCTACAGAAAATTAATGGAAGATTATATTTGCAATAGTTTTTCTATCTATGTGTTAGCTACTAAGCGTCTGTGGCTCATCAAAGGCACTGTCACACTGTGAGATGTGCTACCCTATAGAAACTATTTGATCTTTCTGATGGATCAACTATCTTCCACAGAAAAATAAAATTTTACTCAACTCTCTTTTCCATCTGAATCTTCAGTGGCAATGACCCAAGGATGACAGCAGTATGGTACAGAAAGAAGAGGCCCCAAGTAAGTATCAGAAAACTTGCTTCTACACATTTCTACCTGCTTCTACACATTACTACCTGCACTTAATTCACTTGGATTTTTTTTTTTTAAATCTGTAAAACATGAGATGAGATTAGCTCTAACATATCTTGTGGCTCAATAATCTGTTTCTTTTTTAACCGCTAACACCCATTTTCCCCACAGGCTAAAAAAGAAAAAAAAATTACATATGTAGCAAATTAAAGATGGCCACAAATTCCCTGGCATTCTTTTCATCAAGGGTAAAGTCTGCCCCCTCTCTTTGGTCTACATGGATTGTGTGACTGCTTTAGCCAACAGAAGAGAACAGAAGAGGACCTGTCCCCGTTTCAGGCCCAGGCCCAAGAGGGTGACAGCTACCACTGCTCACTCCTTGGTATACCTGCTCTTGCAGTCGGAACACCCAGGTAAGCTGTCCAACTACCCTGATGGAGAAACCATGGAAAGGAAGTGAAGCCCAAAGAGTCTGGCCTTCCAACACCCCCAGCAAAGTTACAGGCATGTGAATGAAGTAATCTTGGAGTCTCCAGACCAACCCAGCTGCCAGCTGCATACCACCACCCACCAACCCCAGTTAATGCCATATGAAGCACAAGAATTGCCCAGCCAAACCCTGCCCAAATTCCTGACTCAAAGAGTGAAACATGATAAAAGGGCTGTTGTTATAAGCCACTAAGTTCTGAGGTAGCTTGCAACACAGCAATTAGATAACTAAAATAAATAACTAAAATAAATAAAGATTTCTCTTTAAAGACATCAAATCAGTTTAAAAATGAGCTCTGTTATCCAAATAGAACATAACAATTGCACAGATGGCTTTCCCATCAAGCCATGGAATGAAAATCTGCTTCTATGAAATGATGATTTCCTTAGCCTCCTCTAGTCCACACTCCCACCAAAAAGGCCACTTTCCAAAAATATCTAGATACTCTGACAGACATTTATAATTACAGTAAGTGATGACACTGAAAACAAACTGAATATCCAAGTCCACTTGTTCCTTGCCTTTTCTATGAAGACTAACAGCAAGAACACAAATAAGCATTAACCACAGAGACAGGCCCATTTTCCCCCACTGGAATCAAGCTGGAATTCTCAACAGTTATTTAGCATTAGTTAATCGGCGGTAAATACAAACATTATCGTTACCTCTTTGGCATGTGATGAGGCCTTAATCAGTGAAACAGACATATCTGTTTGGACAAGTCCATGCCGCCAGGGCTCATGAAATCGCATGATAGTTGCTGCCACTTATCCCCTCCCCTCAACCCCACCACCACCCTGCTGTCCTCCCAAGCCCACAGCTCATATTGAGACTTGTTTACCCCAGGTTCAGGCTAAATGAGGGCGCCCATAAAGCATGTGTTAAACGCGAGGATGCAGCTGCCATTCTGTTGGTGATGACTGCTGCCACCCAGCTCCCCTGTCTTGATTTGCCTGCGTGGTTGGGCTCAGCCTGTATTTGCCTCTGTAGAGTTGAAGGACACAGAGAGTAGGTACTAGGGTGGTGGTCAATAAACAAACGAGTTTGTACAATATAGGGTGGTCAGTTTGTGTGACTCATTTTTCCTAACTGTTCATCCCAGGAAATACAATAATTTTAGGGAACCCACAGCCCATGGGTCATTATGAAGGGCTGGCTGAGAATTAATAAAAGTGGTATTTTAATGATGTAACAAATAAATATGACCAACTATCTTGCCACTCAAACATCCTTTTTCATTCTCTAATTGACTTGGGTTTTAATGTCTAATTTATGTGCATACAGAATTGCTAAAAGCATTTGTTGCTGAGGTTTTAAAATCAACAGTCTACTTTCTTTAATGCATGTTGAAGTATTTTTACTCATATAAAAATGACTTACCAAGGAATAAGTAATGCTTTAATAAAAATATTTTAAGCTAAGATGATACACCAAGAACATTCAGATTTGAAAGGGGGATTTTTTTTTTCTTTTGGTTGCCAGCATAATGTGGGATGTGTAAGTAACTGTACATTCACTCTCCCATGAATGATGCCACTGAACAAGATTCTCTGAGCAGTCAGTAAGCTAAGTCTAGAAGATGCACCAATTGCTTCCATCCCTGATGAAAAATACCGTCAAATGTATCAGTTTTAGATCAAGAGGAAAATGTAATTTCACTTGGGGGTGGCGGTGGGGGTGGGGCATATATGACCTTTAATATAGTGGCAAAAACATAAACTAACTATTGAAATAGCACTTAAAATATTGTCTTAAAGGTCTTTTCCATGAATAGCATGTTGTTTGAAAGTAGATTTTTTGGATCACCTCACCTGGGCAATAATGTTCACTTTAGATGGCTAAAATTATATTAAATTTAAAATTTCCAACAAAAACTTTCAGGAGACAAATTATATGTGCTTTTATTTCTGCAACTCCATCTCCAAAACTTAATATGCAATTGTTTAAATTGCTTTTTCTTCCATACAATGTAAACGGAGAGTGGAACACAGGAGACATGTGTGAGATGAGGTCAGAAAGACAGCTGTGAGGCAGAGAAGGGAACACAAGACATAACCGTGGTCGGCTGAGTAATGGATCCCCAAAGATGTCCACATCTGAATCCCTGGAGCCTGTGACTATATTATGTTACATGGCAAAAGGGACTTTGTAGGTATGACTAAATTAAGCATGTTGAGCTAGGGAGATTATCCTGGATTATCTGGGTGGGCCCGATGTAATCCAAGGGCAAGAGGATGAGAGACAGAGAAGGCAATGTGATGACGGAAACAGAGGGAGAAACGGTGATAGGACACAGGCTACCACCAAGGTATGAGGCAGCCTCTAGAAGCTGGAAAAGGCAAGGAAACAAATTCTCCCCCACAGCCTCCAGAGGGAACACGGCCCTGCTGGCACCTTGATTTTAGGCCACTGACACTGATTTTGACTCTTGATTTCCAGAACTGTAAGATAATAAATTCGGGTTGTTTTAAGCCACTAAATTTGTAGTAATTTGCCACAGCAGCAACAGGAAACATATTAATATAACAACTCATCCTGAAGTATACTGACAGTTTCTACAATGGCGATGGCCATTTCTACGTGCCGCCATCTGCAGCGTATGGTAGCACAAAGGGCACTGATAATTGTCTGCCCAGCATCCTTCCCCCTCCCTAGCAGAACCCCAGTGCAGTGCACGCCTCCTCCCCAGGTAGCTAGGGAGCCACAGGAGGCTGGCCCCATCCACAGCACCAGGGGAGGGTTCTGTGTAGTGAGAGCCAATCGTAGCATCTTCTGTTCGATCACACACCCAGCTTTCAGTCAATCAGTGCCTGGAATCCCCTTATTATTGTTCCAGGAGTGGGCAGGCGACCTAAATTGCCCCACTCAGACAAAAGGGAAGGGGCTTTGTCTTTCTAGATTGCCTCTAACCCTGAACAAGGAAACCAGAGCCCCAGCTGCTGGCAGCCACCTTGCAAACACAGGGGAAGCTGAAGGCAAAATGGCCACAGGGAGAAGGGCTGAGTAGAGAAAACTGCAGAGAATCATAGAGAAAGCGCAGATAGATCATATTCTCAGCCAGCTTCACCATGCGCTTCTTTTTCTGAGGTAAAAATACTCCTTTTATGTGAAGACAGTTTGAGTTGTGGTGTCTTTTCCTGTTAGGATGATGAAACCATCCTAAGTGACTCAGGAAGTCAATCCTTCATGTCTAGACACTATAAAAGCTAGGTAATGAAAGCAGATGGCTCACAACTGCGAAGAGTCCACTAGGGAAAAACTGGAACCATGAAACAGCAGTTAATTTGCTGTTCTTAATACTTCTCATCTCCAAAATGTAGTTTTCAAGAATGAGCAAATTATTTTCAATAAATACAGGTGATAGTTTTCTGATCTTTTGAAATCAGAAAGAAAAATGTTACGTCCTTTAGCTGAGATTATTTTGAATTGAGTGCACAGCCAAGAAGATGCTATGTAAAATTTACCAAAGAGCGTGACTACGTTTTTTACACCTAATTCCATATAGATTTTTGTCTACCTGATGGACGAGTGATGATATCTCATTGTGGCTCAGAACTACCTGCATCTCCCTGATTGCTGATGAAGTCTGGGGCTATTTGTATTTCTTCTTCTGTGAACTTCCCTTTCATCTCCTTTGTCCATTTTTCACTTGGGTGGCTTGTCTTATCAATTTGTAGGCACTCTTTATATAGCAGAGATATTAACTCTTTCAACAGTCATGATGTTACAAATGTTTTTTCACAGCCTAATGTTTGGATTTGGTTTTATGTTATCCTATATAAATCTTTTTCCTACATTTTTTTTTTTTTTAATAGAATTGAACCTCATTTACTCTCTGGCTCCTGGGTCTTATCTCTACTAAAAGTGGTCTTCCACTTTGCAAATCTATACACTCCTCTAGACTTTCTCCTAAATTCTTCATTATTTTGTTTTTTTATATTCAAACCTTAAATCAATCCGAAGTTTGCTAAGTCAGATGTTCGTAACCCAGGACTTACTGTATTAAATAAAACATCCTTTTCTTTCTTTTGATCCTGGTCGATACCATCCTTTAGTGATAGAAAGGGAGAGAGACATTCTTCTCTGATTGTGGGGACAACAAACAAAAATCACACAAAACTGCAACCCCTCACTTAAGGGATTGCTCTCTGACCTACACAAGTGGCAGTGCTCCCTACCAAGCACAGAGTCCCTAGCAACCTGCCTGCTGGGAAAGTCCTCATTTGTGTCTGACCAAAGCCAACAAGAGAGAGAAACCATCGCAGGCCGCACACAAGAAGAGGTCTTCACCAAAGCCTCAGGGAGAGGCAGCCTTCTCTTCCAGTGGCATCCTTGTGGCTCAACAACCACTCCAAAATTCTGAGCTGCTGGTCCACTCCTTCCCTGAGATTTCAAAGGACACTTGATGGCCTTACAGGTCCTCTCTATTGACCACCTGGATGTTTCCTGAGGGCCTTCCAGGTGAAAGGTAGCATGACAGGCACTGGTGATCAATAAAGGCAGAACAGGTAGCTTCCTGGTCTCAGGCTTAGAGGTCACTGGTGAAGGGGTGAGAGTGAGGGAGAACCATCTTCTCAGAATGTCTCCCGTACCCCCTAGGTTGCCTCATCATGGGAATTCAACTAGGACACAGCAAGTTTTTCCAATTCATACCTTCCTGAGAAACCTCAGCATTATAGACAGCGTGCACCAACAAAGCTGATTCCCTAACCTGTAAGAACCAATAACCGTAATAATTAATTACTTTGGTTATGTGTTACTGTGTTTGATCACGTAAGTATTAAGAAATGAAAAGATAATGAATGACATACCTGGATGATTTTGGGCAATACATCAACTCCATTTTTAGTGTTTTGGGTTGTAGTTAGATACTTTTTTTCCAAAAAGAAAGTTACAATCCACTTAATAAAAACAACACGAGCTGCCATATATGGAATTTTGGTGCTATAAGCGTTTTCATTGTCCCGAGTTACAGTAACGTACACTGGCTTTGGTCTCAAATGAGGGATGTCTGGTAGAGAAAAGAACACATGATCATGTTACTGAATCTTAACACTATGTAACTCCTATAAGCGTTTCCGTTTTCAATTAAATAGACATATATTTGGTTGTATGAACAGGAAACTAAGGCTAAAGAACCAGCAATTATTAAAAAATGGTATCTTTCGGTAGGCTCGCTTCTGATTCCACCTTGCACTCTGATTAAAAAGGGGTGGTTGTTGTCATTATTGTTCACATACAGCTAGGGTGTACAGCTGTGGGAAAACTAAGCTAATAACTCTTTTTAACAATTTTAAGAAAATTATATGAGACCAAATTAGTGAAAATGTTTTCATATATATAACCATAACCCACTGCCATTGAGTCAATTCTGACTTAGAGCAACCCTATAGGACAGAGTAGAACTGCCCCACAGGATTTCCAAGGCTGTAAATCTTGATGGAAGCAGACTGCCACATCTTTCTCCTGTGGAGCGGCTGGTAGGTTAGAACTGCCAACCTTTCTGTTAGCAGCTGAGTGCTTAACCACTGTGCTACCAGCTGCTCCTTGGAAACACTATGGGGCAGTTCTACTCTGTCTTATAGGGTCTCTATGTGTCAGAATCAAGTTGATGGCAATGGGGTTGGTTTTCATTTAATTTTCTTTGTGGCCGGAACAAATGTAAAAGCACATGTAGACATTTTTTTCATCATTATACATATTTTAACAACCAACAACACACAGTGGATCAAATCTACTGAACTTTAGTTTTATATTCTTTTCCGTTTAGATGAATCAAGGAAACAGAATCAATATAATGTAATTTATGCCTAAAAGAATCAGATAGTCATATTTCATCTTTGAGGTATCAGACGTCATCATTTTCAAAGAATTTAACACGAGGTCCATTTCCCAGTCCTTAACGTCCATAATCAATATGAAAATCATATGGTATTGAATTCACGATACCACCTGCCCCAAGTCCAGCTTTCTATTTTACTAATTTTTGTACACTTGGGTGCACACAAATGGCAATGGGTCTGGGTTTTTTTGGATACAGACCTAACACAATGCATGTCCCAGTACCCCTAAAGTCAGTATTTCTGCATCTTTCAAATACACTGAACTCCCGCTGCCTTCCCCTAGCCTGAGTTTGTGTGTGAGCGCATGTGTGCACACATAAACACCCACTACCAGTGAAGTCACTGCCCACACTCCCCAGGGAGATTAATGCACAGTGTGATCTTTCCCCTCCAAAACTGTTTTGACTATTTCTTTGAACTAATTTCATCTGTTTTAATCTAATGGAGAGAGAAAGATCTGTGCCACTTAAGGGATGGTTCTGTCCTGTAAGTTCCCATTTCTTATAGAAGGAAAAGTTTAGCAGCTAGATTAGAAGTTTCCTACCCTTCTAGGGCTTACTGTCCCTCGACTGTCCAACTGCTCAACCATCTCCTTTTGAATAAGCAGCTGCCAGTAGGGCCTGCTGGATGAAACCGCTAGTGCACAAGAAAAGGGCACCCTGTGTGCAGCTGGCTGCTGAGCTGACCTACCTCACCACTGAGCAAGGTCTAGGGTCATATCACCCCACCACCCGTAAGAGAAGACTTTAGGAAATGCAAGTGCTTTCAACATTAAAAGACAGTAGATATAATTACATCAAAATGCCACAATGCATTTCAAATTATTTCTGAGTATGGGAGCCACCACTTAGACTGGGGCACATTTTAGTTTGCAAAAATAATTAAATTCACTTATTATGAAATTTTAAACCTGTTACAATATTTAAAGTTACTATTAAGCACATGAATAAATGACTATTTTACTTAAAAACAATCAAAGGTCACTCTGAAGGAATGGTACAGCTTTCCTGTGGACAGCGGCTATAGGCGGCCCAATCAGTACTTACCAAGTACAGGTTTGTAGATGTTTGTTAACTTAGTAAATGATGGAAATAAATGAGGAAGATAATACTTCCGAAACAAAGTAAAAAGAAATTTAAAACCAGTATCTTGATTCTCCTTATTCTTCCACTCCAAGCTTGCAGCCTTTGGATAATATGTGGAAAAGAACATATGTATATTTTTATTTTAAATGAACATAAACTGAAGTGAAATGCTGCTACATTATTAAAATGCCTATCTAAATAAAAAAATTGAGAAATAATATTGATAGTCATGTAATAAAGTCATAGTATTTAACAAAGCTCAAAAAATGGCAGGGACTTTTTTTTCCCCCAAAACAGCTTAACAGCAGGGACCACCCCAAAAAAGCCAGGAGGAGAGATGAATTAACGGAGGTACAGTCACCCCCCACCACTTAGGGAAGCGTGGCATAGAGAGGGCCTTCGAGAAAGCCTATCAGCAATTCTTAGTACTGTTCAGACCACAAAGCACTTTCTAAAGCAGAGCTCCCCCACTTTCTTCATGTCATAGCCCACTTAGAAAATGGTCATCTTTGTGTAGCTCCTGAGGTAAAGGGATGAGGTGCTTTGGCTTCCCCAGGGACACAAGGGGTCTGCATCTGTAAGCCGTCAGTGGCACCGCTGGGTGCGCCAAGGGAGAGGCTCTGCTCTGAAGACTCACCTTAGTAGAAAGAAGGGTGGAAGAAGGGAGGGAAGGGAGCAAGGAACAGACATGCACACAAAATTCTACACACAATTAGGGGGTCACAGTCTGCACAAAAAACCTGTGCTCCAAAACAATACCATCCTTCTTCAAATCAGGATCCTGGGGACTATGGGACTTGTCCACAACTCATTAGTGACACATCTGGAATGAGAACCCAAGTTCTCCAACACATTTGAGTTCTAAATACTCTATGCTGATTTCCTGGAACAAATGGAATTCCCAACCACTTCTGGACAGATGGAGTTTGAGATTCAAGGGCCATAAGAGCCAAAATGTGGAGCTTCCAAAAGACAAAAGAACACCCTGGCTAGGCTCTCAGGGACCGGGAGTCCTTGAGTTTTGGGTGCTGACTAAAGGAAACGAGAGAGGAAAGGGGACAAGACTGCCCAGCAAGAATGAGTAGTCAGAAAGGGTAGCCAAGGACTAACTCCTGAGCGACAACAGAGAGAAAAACAGTGGCCTGAGGAAAACTGGGAAGAAGTGAAAGAAAGGGAGGAGAGAATCTCATGAAGGAGGGGTAATGAGGGAGAGACCACCTGAAAGTGAGTACAGCAAAAATTAAAGAGTGTCCTCCCCCTGGACTTGGCCACTAGAACCCCTTCATGGCCTTGGGACCTGCCGTTTTGCAGTGACAGGGCAGAAGGTAGTTTATAGTGGGGGTCAAAGGAACACTAGGTGAGAAACTGGACTTGGCAGAGATTAGTATTTCAACAAACGTGGTTATGAAGGGAAGAACAGAGTTGGGATTACACCCAGATAGAATTCAGAAACAAAGAAGTGTTAGCTGAAAGAAAGGAATCAGTAGATTTCATTCTAACCATATCAGCGTTCAGAAATATAGACCAGGAGACTTAAATCACCTGTTAAAATCATAAATAATTTTAGTTCTGTACTCAGTTGTTAAGTACAAGAAAAATGAATCTGTGATGTACACAGGCCTATGCTAACGGCACGACAGGAAAGTTACGAATGCTTCTGTCCAGTCTCCCCATCTGCTCTGCCCACTCCTGATCCACCCAGTCAGCCCGAGTCTGCTCCTCCCCCAGCCTGTCTCCAGCACAGAGGTCAGGGTTAGGCAAGGGATAAAGAGGGAAAAATAGTTTAAACGCATAAGCACACACACAAAATATGCCTGGTCTTGGCTGAAGTCACCTGACAATGGCACACCCACTGTGTTTAATAAAACAGCACATAAAATCACATTAGATGAAAAAGCAAAAACAAAGTATGAATGCACGGAGCAAAGGGGTGTCCCGTTTTCTCTTTCCTACTGAGACTACAATTGTGTTCTTACCTGAATAACCATATACTTCAACAGTATTTGAAGAAAAAAGCATGTTTGATCCTCAGCAATCTTTTCACCTGATATGGCTGGCAGGAGTGGAGTGATTTCTTCTGGATATATCTTTGCTACAGGGTGGAAAATAACGAAAACTCATTCACCAAAGTTAAATTTTAAACAGGGTTTTACAAACACATATAATGTCTCTATAAAATCCACCTACCCACACATCCATCCACCCACCTACCTGTCCATCCATCCATCCATGGAACCACTCACACTGAACCCCACACCAGTGTGCACCAGGGACTTGGGAAAACGGTACAGGCACTTGTGATGCCAACTCTCCCATTGCCTCTTCCACCTGACTATTCTTTTCCCTTTTAAATTCTGCTTTGATCAGCCCAAAATCAAATGCAGTCACTGGGCAATACAGTGATATGCAATAATAAATCAATAGCCCTAAGAGGAAAGTTCCTTGAAAACTCACAGGACAAAAATAGCTGCCCTTAATAATTCCACGAAGCCTCTACAGTCCTTCCACAAATGCTGCATGAAAATACACAGCTGGGCAAAATATGATCCCAGGTGAGCAGATGAGTGCCCACTTATGAAACAACAGTGATGAGGACAACAGACAGTAGTTTTGGATGGCAAATTTAAATCTCATTAACAGTCACAAAAACACTCCAAACATACCATTGTTTATACTTCCTGCTATTGTCAACATCTGTCCCCTTCCCTTCCATTCCTGCTTCCACCACTGCCATCATTTCATATAAAATAGGCTCAAATTTTTTAGATTCTTAGGTTTGTAAGAAAACCAAACCCATTGCCATCGAGTTGATTCCAACTCATAGTGACCCCGTATGTTTGTAAGAATCTACTGTGAATATGAATAGGGAATAATTCCTTTCCAGACTCCATCTATGAAATCAGCATTTCTATTCAGGAAAATGACAAACCAAGGAAGTCCTCAATGTAACTTCAAAAGCAACTTCAACATGTAAGATCTGTTAACATTACTCACCATCAGCTACATTAGGACTAGGATTGAGGAGTGTCTCCAGTGTACAGGGCCCTCTGGAAGACATGATCGCTGGGAAACCAGGCACGAGGCAAGCGAAAATCAGTACTTGCTCTTCCGCACAGTTTGTCTGAAGTGCTTGAAGCCATAAAAGAAACAACCTGATTCCTTCACATCTTATCTAAAAATAAAATGTAAAACAATGAAAATGAAACACGTGTTTTTTATTTGTAGAAATTTACTGCAATGAAGCATCAGTCTTGAGAAAGAAAAACTAGAAGTTAAAGGTGCCATTAAAATACTGCGCCAAGTTCTTCACTTAGGGACAAATAAGCAAGGATGCTGCAGTACCACAGCTCAGGTTCAGGAGAAAGACTGCCTGGGTTCAAATGCAGGTTCTGCCACCTTCTAGCTCTGACCTTGGGAGAAACACTTAAACTTCTCTATGCCTCAGTCTCCCTGTCTGTAAAGTAGGGATTTACCACAAAGACTGTTATAAGGATTAGGTGAGTTAACATATGTAAAGCATGCAGAACAAACGGTGCCTGGCTCACAATACGTGCTATGCGAGTACTGCTTAATTAGTAGTATTTCATTCCATAAAGGAATAGTGTCCATTATCAACACACGATTATCCACGAAAACGATGACAAAGAAAATCTTCTTGCAAATTTTCACTGTGCTTTGGATAGAATTTTTGTCATGTCACTATAATATGCACATGTATAATCTTGAAAATCAGAACACTTGGAGCTAAAAAAAAAAAAAGAGCCTTGTAGGCCTGGTCAATGGGATCAGGACAGTTCTCTAGGTTCCCTGGTTTACGTCCCTACTATTCTCTCCAATGCCTTCGTCATGCTCTGAATGGTCAGCACCACTGTTGGAAACCATCAGCGTAGGTAGATGTGTCCTTCTTCCTCCTCTACACTTACTTACAACTTCATACTATGCCTAGAATTCAAAAATACCGGTGCCTCCATTTCTAAATGGCTGAGAAGATGATGTCAATAAAGGAAGTGAAATGATCAAAAGAGATAAAAATGTCAGATGCAGCTGAAACGTGTAGTGAGTTCAACTGCAGGCCATGGAAATGACTGCCTGATCCCCAGCCGTCTTGTCAGTTAAAGCAAGGTTATGCTGACTCCACCAGAGCAAGGGTGTTGCAAGCCAAACACGAGGCTCTGCAGGAAAACCAAAAGGATAATAGTCAAAAAAGAAAAAGACGTTTGGATGACTCCCAAAGAAGTCAAACACACCAAGACAGACACCGGATTTGGAGAGTGTGCTACACTCATTAACTGAGTAGGTTTCACAGCACACTTCCAGACAGGCCGGCAATTTCCACCACTGCTCTGCACAAGCTTCCATGTTCACACACGCCTTCCCTTCTCTCCTCAAGCAGGTAAAATGAGTGGTAACACTGCTGAATGCATAATACTATTCAGCTGTCAAGACAAAAACGATACAGTTCTATGTATATTTAGTCAAATTATATTAAATTCAACAAGAAGAAAGTTTCTATGACATTATATCATAAGTCGTCAATTTTTTTATATTAACTATATTTAAGACAACTGAATTTAAATGAACCACAAAAACCAAACCCGTCGCGGTCGAGTCGATTCCGACTCACAGCAACCCTACAGGACAGAGTAGAACTGCTCTGTAGGATTTCCAAGGAGCACCTGATGGATTCGAACTGTCAACCTTTTGGAATTTAAATAAGGTTATAATAACATGAGATAACAACATGATAGGTTTTAACTATAAGCCTATTCTAGTAAAATAGCAGAAACAAAATATGAGGCTAGGAATTGCTCCTCTTTTTTCAATATGTAAGAGATCATTAACATTTCAAGTTTTAAGTGGCTGTGACTGTTTAAACTGGTATAAACCAAAAATACATTGGTTTATTAAAGACATACACAACTTAATTAGCTACAAGTGGATTATCTTCCATAAAATATTCATCCCAGGCTGGCTGCTGTCTGCCACTTACATTTTTGCGTCCTCTTACAACAGTATCAAATGGTACTTGCCACTATAAAATGTAAATTCATTTAATAAACCAATTTTAACCTAAATTACACGAACGATCGCTGCAAATAGACAAATATTCAAGAGTAAGGCACTACTGCTCTTTTCTCTCACAATGGTCCTCACAATCATCAAAAATAATTCAAAGACAACTGTAATTTTAACCAAATTCCTAGGGTGGACAGAATCAGGCATGTTAGCATGTTAGCTTAGAGAGGAGCTTGTCCAACCCTTTCCTGTTTCAGATAATAAAACTGGAGCAGTTAGTTACTTGCTGCAGACAGCAGAACCAGAATTGTAACCTAGGCTCCAGACTCCGAATTTCAAGCTACCTTCTCCCAATATTGAAAATCTATCATAATAAGCTATGATGTAAGAATACAAACCTTAGCAATATTTGTCATATAATTTCTCAATTAAATATGAAAACAGTCAAGAGGTTTTTAAGAACTTTTTTTTTCAAAATGGCATAACTTTGTCACTTCATAGTATTAATAAATTTAAGAGTAATGAAAAATGTCATTAAATTTCATCTAAAATAAATACCTTAATAGAATTTCCAGTGTGTAGAAGCTTCTTTAAAGTTGAGCCTAAAAGTTTGAAACAATGAATTAGAAATGAAGTATATGAATGCATATTTAAGATCTATCTTAAAAAGGATGCAGCGTTAGAAAGAAAGAATGTATTTATAACTAAAGATATAATTTTCCTTTAAATAAAAGAAAGAAGGCTGGCCTTCAGAAGCACAGCAATGTCATAGAGGGAGAGACACTTTTCAGATCAAAGTACTTCAAGTATGTACCTCTTCAAAACTCTTAAAAGAGTCAAAATGATTGATTTTATGATGACCCAAATGCCCATAGTAGACTATGTGCAAATATCTCCTGTCATGTATAAAATGAATGCTTAAAAAAAATTGCTAAAAGGTAAAAATAAAGTAAAACTACTGCTCACAAACCATTTTTACAAGAATGTTTTACAGATACTCAGGATGACATTTTTCTCCCCTGGCAAAGATAATTACATTTATGAGGCTCGGTCTACCAGTAAATCCTCTAGCAGGGGGCTCTGGTCACTACCAAAGAGAGGGAATCAAGATTTACTCAGAGCTACCCTGTCCACTAAAAAACTCTGGTGCAGTCTCTCTTATGAGGATGGAAACTATTACCTAGTATCCCATAAATGTGTTCATTCCCTCAGTATGGAGATGGCCTAGCAACCCCACCAAAATAACCCCACCTAAATACCATATGTAGCCTCTAAAAGGGTATCTTAACCTCAAAAAAGGAGGTAACCTTTTAAATGTAAATATATTGGAAGTCTCAGGCAAGAGAACGTTTTCTCCCAAATTACATATTAGATTTTTAAAAAAGCACACACAGAACCCCTAATGAAAAGTTTTGTACAATATTTAAAAACTGAATATCAAATCACATTTACTACATCAATGTTATTCAAAGAGACGGTTCACCAAGAAATAGAGCCACTGTCTTGACAACTGCTAATGGTCACATGTATATGGACAGATACATGTATGTTACTTAAATGAATCACCACCAGTTGCCATCAAGTCAATTCCAATTCATGGCGACCCCATGTGTATCAGAGTAGAACTGTACTCCATAAGATTTTCAACGGCTGATTTTTTGGATGTAGAGAACCAGGCCTTTCTTCCAAGACACCTCTGGGTGGGCTTGAACCTCCAACCTTTCGGTTAGCAGCTGTTTGCACCACTTAGGGACTCCAGTTAAAACAAAAGCATTGACAATCTCAGGGAAGCTTACACAACTGTTGTACTCTTTAAAACACCTAACACTGGGGCTCATCATTGCCATGACCCAGGGTAGGTTACACTACTTAAATCACTAATGGAGGGACTCAGGCAGACATGGCTCTAGCAGCATGCTTGTCCGTTTTCCCACTTTTGTCTGTTCTGTAAGATTTTCTATACCTCCTGTTTCCTCTTGACAAACTTTGTGTGCTTCTTATGGATGTATGTTTTTGTGTGGTAGATCCAACTATACTAGTTTAGATGATCCGTTTCCAAATGACAGTAAATTTACGTGGGCAATCTCTTGTTTAGATTCCTGATGAATGTGTGGGCAATGTACTTTGGGAACTTGAGGATTACCTTTAGATAACCATAGTAATGATGCCAGTAAATATTGGAAAGGTAATGCTAATTTGTTACACATTGTAAAATGAGAGTCAGAAGAAAGGCCATTGGTCCAACACTCAGGGTACGGTTGCTCATTTCTAAGAGCTTTAATTCCTACTTATGGTATAGTTGAATTGGAGAAATCTTTAAGAAATTTATTAATTACTATGGGACAAACTGCAGACAAAGTTGCTAGCGGGATGGAAGCACAACAGCGATCTCTAACCTCATTAAGCCAAGGCGACATGAGATAACAGAATAGCCTTAGATTTTTATTAGCCCAAGAAAGTACAGTCTGTGCTGTAGCAAATACCTCTTGTTGCATTTGGATAAATAACACAGGAGCAGTAGAACAGGATATACACAGAATTAGACAGAAAGCTACTTGGTTACACGCTGTAACACCCTCACAAACACAAGCCTTATTTGGTTGGTTAAAGTCAAGAATAAGTATATAGGCTAGATCACTATTGTAAAGAAGAGTAATATTCTTAGTCTACATCCTGATAGTATCAGGCTTAATAAAACTTATCTTCTATTGTCTCACACACTTAAAAGGCAAAAGAAGGCCTCGGGCTAAAATGCTGATGTACATTGAGTCTGTTCATTTCCGCAATGCAACTGATGAGAAAATTGCTCTTAGGATCCTGGTGAAGAACCAAATGGTATCCGGTGGAAAACCAGCACCGTGAGTTCAAAAAGCCTGCCATGGCCACCATCTAGGGGCCCAACTAAGTCCACTACTGATCATTGATGTGTTAGCTCCAATCTCCGATCAAAAGGAAGGAATGATTTAGGAGATAATATTGGAGCCATTATTCCCTGTCCTTGAGCACAGAGATATGTGACCCAGCTGGAGCTGGACTCACAAGGACATATCAACTGGGCCCTGAGGTATAAAGACAATAACTAGGACAATCTTGGAAAACATCTTTTAGGGAAACTTTCACATAAACAAATCATAAAACACAACACAAAAGACCCACATACTTTCTACTCTTTTCTTTTTCTATCAGCACTTAGTAAATAGTAAGATTGTTGGACCAGTGAGGACCCTCTTGACTGTCATTACTGAAACCTGTACCAATGATTGTTAAGAGGGACAATTCAAAATGTAGAATCACAGTGACTTAACAGTTTTTAGTCAATCTGTGAAAAGGTGAAGCTTGCAATGCTGTTGCCTATTTTGTAATGTTAATATATACTGATGAATCTGTAATGTTCCTTGGACTTCGAAAGACATGGCTCTGGCAGCATGCTTATCTGTCTTCCCACTTTTGTCTGTTCTGTAATATTCCTCGGACTCAGGCAGTCATGGCTCTAGCAGCATGCTTGTCCGTTTTCCCACTTTAACCTCTTTGAATCTATGCCAGATAAAATCTTGCTTTTTGCTTAAAAAAAAAAAAAAAGTCACTAATGGACTGCTATTGGGTAAAGGAAGTTAAAGTGTCCTCCCTCCCCTACCTACTCCTTTCACCAAACCATATCCAGTAATTTGCATCTGGAGTCAGCATTTTCTGGGCTGGGCTCTCTCTCCCAACTAAGGTTCAGTGGCTGTTCCCATGGGACTTTTCTGTCCCATACCTTTCCTCAGCTTGGGGCCTTGTTCCCCATCCCCATGTTCATCCATTCTTGAACAAAGTCTGTCCTGCCTCAGTTTACTATTTGCTTCATTACACCTTATGAGGACCTCATGATGGTTGGCAGGTCAACAGACACTCAACCTCCCAAGGACACTATAGGTAGAGTCTGCACAGACAGTTCTCCTCCCAGAAATCTGGTTAAGCCATAATCTTGCAATACACTCTGGGAAACACTTTCTCCTGGTCATTGTGTATGACCATGGTGCTTGTCAGTGCTTCTGGTAATTTGTCACAGCAGCAATAGAAAACCAACACATACATATTTGACCTATTATACCCTCTTGAATTCAAAAACTTTTGTATATGTGAAGCAGTATAGCTTGACAGGTACAAGCCCAAATTCAGGAGCCAGATGGCTACGGTTTAAACCTTGACTCTGCATTTACTAGCTCTGTGACCTGGGCCAGTTACTTGATTCACTATGCTTCAGTTTTCTCATCTGTAAAATGGGAATGACAATTGTGCCTACCACAGAAAACTGTTAATGAGTTTAAACAAATTAATACACATAAATGCTTAGGACAGTGCCTAGCACACAGTAAGCTCATTTTTCTCACAAGACAGGGCATTGACTATTCTTAAAGGCACTCCTTTAATAAGAACATTAGAAAGAAAAATGTGAGCAGTGGGAACACAAGGCAGAGGGTTTCCACGTGAGGAATGGTGGTGAGTACGTGACAGCCTTGCTTGGCAATGTTAGGAATTTTTTTTGTTTAATTTTGAATAATATTTTATTGTGCTCTCAGTGAAGGTTTATACAGGTTCTCATGCAACAATTTCTACACAAATTGTTTAGTGACACTGGTTACATTCTTCACAATGCATGAACATTCTCATTATCCCCATTCTGGTTGTTCCATTTCCATTAATACAGTTTCCCTGTCCCCTTACATTTGCATCTTTGTTTTAAAGTAATTGTTGACTGTTCTGGTCTCATATAGGTGATTTTTTAAAGGAGCACAGTACTTACGGGTGATATTCATTATTTTGTGAGCCAATCTGTTGTTTAGCTATAAGATGACCTCAGGGGTTAGTTTCAGCACAAGGTTTGAAGAGTATCTCAGGGCAGCAGCCTCAGGGAATCCTCTGGTCTCAACCAGTCCAGTAAGTCTGTTTTTTAAATTTTTGTTTTCTTGTTGTTGTTTTTTTTTAAAGGAATTTGAGGTTCTGTTGCACATTTTTGTCCCATTCTATCAGGATCCATCTATCGTGGCCCTGATTAGAATGGGTCAGAAGTGGTAACTGGGCACCATTTAGTTCCTCCGATCTCACGGTAGATGAGGCTGTGGTTTGTGTGGACTATTTGTCCTGCAGACTAGTTTCCTCTTTGAGTCTTTGGTTTCCTTCTTTCTCTTTTGCTCTGGATGAGCAGAGACCAATAGTTGGATCTTAGATGGCCACTCGCAAGCTTTTAAGACCCCAGACACTACTCACCAAACTAGGATGTAAAACATAACTTTATGAACTATATTATGCCAACTGACCAAGACATCCCACGAGATTATGGTCACTTTAGGGATTTTTTAAGGCCATAAATTCACAAAGATATTTCTAGTCTAACATTAGGAAATCCTTTCTCATTTTGTTTTAATTTTTTAAAAGTTTCTCTCTATATATATTATGCCTATTGGCATTCTCAAACTATGATTATACCCACCCCCATCTCTTTTATGTGCCTCATCAACCCTATTGGTGGCTACCTTATTGAGTCAAGTGAATAACTGAATAAATAAATGAATAAGTAAAAACTAATTAATTGGACTGATTACATGAACTTTTGGCTACCTTTTACTGTACCTTAATAATAAAAATCATTTGAATGTAAGTCTTGTTACTTTTAAAAAGGCAGTAAGAATACCAGAGCCAGGACTTGGGTGAGGAGAGTAAGAATTCTGCAAAAAATTTAAGAGGGCACCCAAAAACTGAGTAATCTAGATATGTAATATTTTAATGCACTAGTTTTTAAAAATCAAAATTAATGCAAAGAAGTCCATGTTTCAAAATACTAAAATTTTAAATAAGGCCAGTGTTGTGCTGAGTCAAACTGGAGCTGTACGCAAAATGAAAAATGGTGCCTTTCCAATGTCTTTTCAGCGGTTAATTTTCTTCCAGAACATTAAAGGTATTTACTTTTAAAATTGTTTACCTTTTTCCAGAACAGAAAATTTTAAAAAATAAGTATATTGAAACTCACAACATTAACTTAAATATTTTATTATACCAAAACCAGAATTTATTACAGTTTTACTTTCCTCGCTTTCATGGAAGCAAGCTCATCAATATTTTCAAAATCTACTTCTTTGCTTATCTCATTTTCAGTTGTAAGAACTGCCATGTTTGATAATTTCTCTTGACCAAATGACAATTTTTAAGATCTTTTAAAGACATTTTTAAGCACATAAGTTCCCAAAGATATTTTTAATCTAACTTTGACATTATAAAATCCTTTCTTATATTACTTTAATCAAAAAATTTTTATCTATGTATCATGCTTCAAACCAAGTAACAAGCAATGATAGTCTACTCTCAGGGAAGGGCCAAGGACAGAGAGAGATACACTCTGGGGCACTGGTGGCAAGGCCTGCTGAAAGCTGCCAGTGGAGCAGGAACACAGAACTTTCTGGCACTACAAGATGCACACTAAACACAAGAAAGCAGCAGCTAACTGCTGGAGGAATTTAAAACTAACAAAAATTAGCTCAAAATGGATCAAGAACCTAAATGTGAAACATAAAACTGTAGAACTTCTAGAATACAGAAGATCTTTGTAACCTTGGGTTACTCAAAGATTTCGTAGACATGACACCAAAAGAACAATCTATAAAAGAAAAAATTTGATAAACTGGATTCATCATAATTTTAAACTTCTACTCTTCAAAGGAGCCCTGGTGGCACAGTGGTTAAGAGCTAGGGCTGCTAACCAAAAGGCTGACAATTCAAGTCCACCAGACGCAGCTTGGAAACCCTATGGGGCCGTTCTACTCTGCCCTATGAGTCAGAATCGACTTTATGGTAACAGGTTCATTTTTTTTTACTCTTCAAAAGACGATATGAAGAGAGTGAAAAGACAGGCCACAGACAGGGAAAAATACTTCCAAAGCACAGATCTGAAAAAGTATGTATATCCAGAAAATGTAAAGAATTCTCAAAACTCAATATTAAATTGTTGTTGTTAGGTGCCATCAAGTTGGTTCCAACTCACAGCAACCCCAAGTACAACAGAACGAAACATTGCCCAGTACCATGCCACCTTTCCAATCATCGCTATGTTTGAGCCCATTGTTGCAGCCACCATGACCATCCATCTTGTTGAGAGTCTTCCTCTTTTTCACTAACCCTCTACTTTTCCAAGCATGATGTCCTTCTCAAAGGACTGGTCCCTCCTGATAACTTGTCCAAAGTACATGAGACAAAGTCTCTCCAGCCTCGCTTCTAAGAAACATTCTGACAGTACTTCTTCCAAGGCAGATTTGTTCATTCTTCTGGCCGTCCATGGTATAGTCAATATTCTTCACCAACACCATAATTCAAAGGCATCAATTCTTCTTCGGTCTTCCGTATTCATTGTCTAGTTTTCGCATGCATATGAGATTGAAAATGCCATGGCTTGGGTCAGGTGCACCTTAGTCCTCAAGCTGACATCTTTGCTTTTTAACACTTTAAAGAGGTCTTTTGCAGCAGTCTGCCCAATGCAATATGTCCTTTGATTTCCTGACTGCTGCTTCCATGGGCATTGATTGTGGATCCAAGTAAAATGACAACCTCAATCTTTTCTCCGTTTATCATGATATTGCTTATTGGTCCAGCTGTGAGGATTTTTGCTTTCTTTATGTTGAGGTGCAATCCATATTGAAGGCTGTAGTCTTTGATCCTCATCAGTAAGCGCTTCTAGTCCTCTTCACTTTCAGTAAGCAAGGTTGTGTCATCTACATATCACAGGTTCATGAGTCTTCCTCCAGTCCTCATGCCTCATTCTTCTTCAGATAATCCAGCTTCTCGGATTATTTGCTCAGCATATAGACTAAATGAGTATGGTGAAAGGATACAGCCCTGAGACACATCTTTCCTGATTTTAAACCATGCAGTATCTCCTTGCTCTGTTTATACAGCTGCCTCTTGGTCTATGTACAGGTTCCTCATGAGCACAATTAAGTGTTTCTGAGTGCCCAATATTAAGACAACCCAATAAAAACTCAATTAAAAAAAAATGGGCAAAAGATTTGAACACACACTTCACCAAAGAGCCTTATTTGCCATGTGTATGGTAAATAACCACATGAGAAGATGCTCACAATCACTAGTCATTAAGGAAATGCAAATCAAAAGCACCCTGAGATACCACTACCACTAAAATAAAAAGACAGCACATCCAAATGTTGGTGAGGAGGCACAAAACTTTCACAGGAGTGGTGGGAATGTAATCACTCTGAAAAACTGTCTGACAGCTAAACATACACCTTTATATTATTCAGTCATTCCATTCCCGAGAAATGGAAAAACATATGTCCACACAAAGACTTGTACACAAATGTTTATAGTAGCTTTATTTCTAATAGCCAATAACTAAAAACAACTCAAATGCCCATCAACAAATAGAGCTACTGACACATGCAACAACATGGATGAATCTCAAAATCATGCTGAGCGACAGAAGTCAGACAAAAAAGGGTGCATGTTGCATGAGCCTATTTATATAAAACTCTAGAAAACACAAACCAATCTACAGTGACAAAAAGCAGATTAGTGGCTGCCCAGAGATTGTGGGGTGGGGTGGGGAAGGGTAGGAGGGAGGGCCTACCAAGGGGCGTGAGGAAACTTTTGGGGGTGGTGGCTTTGTTCATTATCTTGATTGTGGTAATTGCTTCACGGGCATATACCTATGTCAAAACTTAGCAAAATATACTTCTTAAATATGTACAGTTTGTTGCATGTCAATTATACCCTAATAAAGCTGTTTAAAATAAATAAAATAAAAAAATGGAACAGGTGGTTTGGAAGTGACTGGATAAAAGATCAGAAGGATGGAGATCACAGTCAGACAGAGGTCTGCATGATGACAAGTACCGGGAAGATAAAGTTAGGAAGTCACGGAGGAAGAGGCGGATCAAGAGACTGATGGGTAACTTGGCACAAAAGAAAAGGACTGTGAGATAGGAAAGCCATTAAAAAATGATAGCAAGTGAGCAGATGCGAAGACATGGCAGCAATAAGGAGGGGAGGAGGCATAGTCAAGGGAGACAGTTTCTACAAAGGCAGTAGATAATGTCTGGAATTGGCCTTAGAGAAAAGAAAGACCATGCTCTCACCCTCGTGCCCCTGCAGGAGAGAGGAGCCTCTGAGAAAATCCAGGTTCCAGGTAGCTCAGGACGTGAAAGAAAGAGGCTGAGAATGTAGGGCCCCTGCGTATCTCAAGAAGAGGACTTTCAGAGGGCAGAGCACAAAGAAGTGGGTGGGGGTGGGGAGGAACACAGAGCAACATCACAGTGATGAGGACCCTGGAAATGCACCCAGTGAGCTGGCCGCCACGCTGCAGAAGCAATAGTCCCCGCCATCCCCTGGTGCATGCAGAGGCATGCAGAGCACCTGGATTCAGGTCTGGCTGTGATGTGCTTCTGAGGGAGTCCTAGCATGAAGTGCATAGGGACACCCTGCTCCCTCAGGAGAAGAAGGTTGTGGTGTGGCCTGACTGGGGGGGACCTGCGGAGGACTGCCAAACTCAGCCTCCTGAGGAGAGGTGAGAGTAGAAACTTTGAGAAATGAGGCTGGTCAGAGGCTATCCAGGCAATGTGAGGTCACTGGGTACACCAAGGCATTGAGCCAGGAACACTCTTATAAAAGTCATAAACAAATTTCCAGTTTAGTTATGCACTTGGTGTTTATACTATGTATAAAGGAGCTCTGGTGGTGTCGCGGTTAAAGCACCTGACTGCTAACCAAAAGGTCAGTGGTTTGAAACCACTGGAGGCTCTGTGGGAGAAAGATGTGGCAGTCTGCTTCTGTAAAGATTAACAGTCTTGGAAACCCTACAGGGTCACTGTGAGTCAGAATTAACTCAATGGCAATGAGTTTTGGTTTTCACATATAAGAAAAACCTAGTTGGGCAACAATAAAGCCTTGAAGAACAAGATATTTTTGTAAGGCAAAATGTATAAGTATTCAGAAAAAATACTCTAGATCAGTGTTTCCCAAACTTTACATGCATGGGAATCTCCCGGGGCTCTTGCTAAAAATGCACTGTGATTTGGCAGGTATGGTTGGGGCCTGTGACTCTGCATTTCTAACAAGTTCCCAGTGAGGCCAACCCTGCTGGTCCACAAACCACACTTTGAGTAGCACACTGAGAGCAAGAGATGATTTTATATCCCTCCAGAGTCTGGAAACAAGTTGTCTCAGTTTTAATTAGCAGCCTGGTGGCACCATGGTTAACAGCTCAGCTGCTAACCAAGAGGTTGGCAGTTCAAATCCACCAGCCGCTCCTGGGAAACTCTATGGAACAGTTCTACTCTGTCCTATAGGGTTGCTATGAGTCAGAATCAACTCGACAACAACGAGTTTGGTTTTTTTTTTGGTTTATAAGCTATCTTGATGGTGTTAATTATATAAAACATTATTGAATATTCGATTGGAAGAAGTCCACATTACTAAAAAAAATTTTTTTTAATCGTTCTTACCTATACTTTGGTAATGCCATCGAAAGAAAATCCGTTCAGGTAGAAATTGCAGTATTTTCTATAAAACAAAAACAATAAATAATGAGATATGAAGAGAAAATAAACAACAAATGAGATTTCACATGTCCACTATAGGCCCACATACTTGCTATATATGTTTCAAAACAGGGAGAAAAAAACTATTTGTAATAACAGAAATACGGCACTTTATCCTGTACCCCACGTGATAAGTTTTTTTACTTTCCTATATGTTTTAAAGAGATTACTAAACCCAAGTTTAATGCCTCCCAAAAGAAAACAAGAGGAAAAAAAAAAAACCTCTAAAATGGTAAATTTTATCTTAATCAAACCATAGCATCAATTATATGTTAAAAAGAGTAATTTCCCAAATGGCAGATTCCCTGGGTTTCTTCTTTTTCACCTTCTCCTTCCCATTTCTGTTATAAGTCTATGGATGGGGAATGGAATTGGGAAGAAAGGTGAACAAAAACGGTTCACCATAAACAATTCAGCGGAACAAGAAAATGTAATTAGTGGCAAAAAAAATTTCTTGAAATTAACAGCTAAAAAGTTTTAGGATTGTAGTTCTGAATCTCCCTATTGGTAGATATACCAAAGAACAAATGTATAATGTACAGGAATATCTGGCTAATATGAGCAGCTTTCCTCCTAACAAAACCAAACTAACAAGAATGAGTTTTTATTTTTTTCTGACTCTAGAGCAAGTTTTTGCAAGTTACTCTTGGGTAGTAAAGCTCTCTGCACTTTTTCTGCAACCACCTTTTTAAAAAATGGAGAAAATTCAAAAACTGATCAAAATACACTTCTTGGTATTGATAATACACTGTTATTTTACTATAAATAACCCATTCCAGGTTTATCTAGCCTAATATTCTAACATTTTGAAAAATTAAGACCAAAAATATGTATTCAGATCTCCGAAAAAGTGTATTTCCAGGCAGCTAATAAACTATTAAAGTCCCTGGGTAGTTCAAATAGTTAACACACTTGGCTGGTAACCAAAAGGCTGTAGGTTCAAGTTCACCCAGAGGTGCCCTGGAAGAAAAGCCTGGTGATGTAACTTGTGAAAAATCAGCCAATGAAAATCCTATAGAGCAGAGTTCTACTCTGATACACACGGGATCACCACGAGTCAGGATCAGCTCCACGGCAACTGGTAGTGGTGGTGGAATAAACTGCTTTCACAATTTGAGCCAGCTTGGGTTTTCCTTACCTTGTCTTAAATTGGCATCTGGGTCAGTAACATACATATGTGTTTACTTCATTTGAGCCACACAGGGAAACTTCCATCAAATGCAGAAGACTTCAAACTGCTAAGTCATTTTCCCCAGGCTGGCCTATTTCTCACCGAGAGGTTTGCATCCCAGCCTCGCTGCCAACGTCCCCTCCTCACAGAGGCCTTTTCTGAGTGCCCCATCTAGGGGAGCCTGGATCCCCTCCAGCCACTCTGGTGCTTTCTCCATTTCCCTGTTCAGAGTCCTCATCTCATTCTGAAAGGATCTTGTCAGCTTCCTTGTTTTACAGTAGTAATCCCTCCAGCAGAAGGTAAGCCACAAGAGAGCAAGGACACGTTTTCTCCCCTGAAGCATCCCCTGCACCCAGAGCGTGTCTGGCACACAGTAGATACCCCATGAGTACTCAGTAAGTGAACGCTGAATGCTTTTGACCTGTGAAACTAGGGACCTGGTAGATGTCTCAGCCTCCCAGGGCTGCTTTACAGTGGGTGGCTTTAAAGAAGAGAAATGTATTGTCTCACACCTCTGGAGGTTAGAAGTCAGGGTACTGGCCATGTGGGTTCCTTCTGAGGGTTCTGACAGAGGGACAGTTCCCTGCCTGTCTCCAGCTTTTGGTGGCTCCTGGAGGTGTTCCTTGGCTTGCAGCTGTGTCTACCTCCACTGTCACACGGTGGCCCTTCCTCTGTCTAACTGTTCCTGTCTTCTCCGATTATAAGACACCACTCAGACAGGATTAGGACTCACCCTACTCCATCTTAAAAGATCCTATTTTCAAACAAGGTCACATTCACAGACACCAGGGGTTAGGACTTCAGCATGTCTTTTTGGGGAACACATTCAATCCACAACAGTAGTTAATCCTGATCTTTGCTATGGTCCTATGTTCACATATTTTATCTTCCCTTAAATGCCACTGAATAAACAATGATATTTACATTAAGCTATATTAAAATTTATAGGCATTTTTTAACCCTGAACATAGTAAAGAAAACCCAAACAAAAAATAAAAGTTGCATAATTTTAAAAGAACTAATTTTTCAAGATCTGATAGAAACATGAAATATAAATGTGCTTAGTTACACAACTTGTTATAAATTATTTACACATCTACAAAGATGAAAATACTATACAAACTATATCAAAGATTATTTCTGACTATATGTATTAAAAGCAGAACATAACTGATCACGTGCTAAAAATGACTAAAGTGAATTCTCTCCTGCATTTCCATTTCAGACTTTCCCTAGAACATGCTGGTTTGTTATCTTTCAAGCTCATAACTTTAAAAGATATACTATATCATCTTTTATTATAACACTGACATAAACACACATACACACATCCCAAATCCCAGTTAATGAAAATGCCTACATACTAGGCAGCAGGCTTGGTGAGTGAAGTGCAGAAATTAAATAAATATGAATAAGCTATTTAGTCCTTACCTCCAAGGGTTTCACAACTAGCGGGCAAGAGAAACAGAGAGAAAAGGATACCAGTCAGTAAAAAAAAAGCAGCAGCAGCAGCAGCATTAACAGCAGTCCGTGTGAGGTGTGACAGAGGTGAGGAAGAAAGCGTCTCAGCTCAGCAAGGATATCATAGAATGCTTCCTGGAAAAGAGGGCTCTTGAGCTGAGACTCAGAGGATTAATTAAATTAGCCCAGTGGAAGACTAAGCCAAAAGCTAAGAAGTTTCCTGAATACAACCAAACACTTTGAGGGACAGAGTAGCAGCAGCAGGCTGGGGACCACGGTTTCAGGAGACATCTAGGTAGACTGGCATAACACAGTTTATTAAGAAAATGTTCTGCATTCCACTTTGGTGAGTGGTGTTTGGGGTCTTAAAAGCTAGCGAGCGGCCATCTAAGATACATCAATTGCTCCCAACCTACCTGGAGCAAAGGAGAATGAAGAACACCAAAGACACAAGGAAAGTATTAGCCCAAGAGACAGAAAGGGCCACATAAACCAGAGACTCCATCAGCCTGAGACCAGAGGAACTAGATGGTCCCTGGCTACCACCACCGACTGCCCTGACAGAGAACACAACAGACAGTCCCTGACAGAGCAGGAGAAAAGTGGGGTGCAGAACTCAAATTCTAGTAAAAAGATCCGACTTAATAGTCTGACTGAAACTGGAGGGACCCCGGAAAACATGGCCCCAAGGCTCTCTATTAGCCCAGAACTGAAACCATTGCTGAAGCCAACTCTTCAGACAAAGATTAGACTGGACTACAGGATATAAAATGATACTTGTGAAGAGAGTGCTTCCTAGCTTAAGTAGATAAATGAGACTAAATGGGCAGCTCCTGTCTGGAGGTGAGATGAAAAGGTTGAATGGACATGGGAAATTCAGAGTGGAAAGGAGGAGCGTGCTGTCACAGTATAGGGAGAGCAACTAGGATCACATAACAGTGTGCGTATAAATGTTTGCATGAGAAACTAACTTGAACTATAAACTTTCACTTGAAGCACAATAAAAAAAATTTTTTTAAATAAATAAATTAGCCCAGTGGAGACTAGGAACAGAAGGAAAAGCATGTGGGAGCGTCAAGAGGCAAAGACAGCTTAGTGCCTAAAGGAATGGCAGCAAGAGCAGGTGGTTCAGCTTGGCTGGTAGGTAGGTGGAGAGGGGCAGATGGGGCTGGAGAAGTAAGTGAGGCTGCTGGTGGTGGTGGGGTGCTATGTTCTCATGAAAGTAGTGCACAGATTCCAACAGAGGTGGACTTGAGATGACTGAGAAGAGGAGATGTCACTGAGGGGGCAAATGCAATATTTCAGATGAGGAATGAGATGGCTGGACCAATGTCAGCAAGTACAATGTAATAATAATATTCAGAAGATAAAACTGTAAATTGTCAGGATGGGCAGGTAGATGTGGAAAGGGAGGTGAATGAGGACTCAAAAATGACTCCCCAGCATGGTAGATGGCAATGCTTGTATCCAAGATATCAAATTCAGAAGGAATCCCAGAATTGAGAAGAATAAGCACATCAAATTTCATCCTAGAGATCCTAGAATGTGAAGTATCAATGGGTTAGTGGCAAGATTTGGATGGTAACAGGATATAGGTGGCAGTGGAAGATGGGTGTCTATAAGATGTCTCTGAGAAAAAGCTTAAAATGAGAAAACTAGATGAAGCCTCTGAGATATCAGCACATTGAGAGTTCTGTTAAGAAGGTTAGAGACAACTCCAACAAATTTGAAAACCTAGAGGAAACAGACAAATTTCTAGAAACACACTACTTACCTAAACTAACACAAACTGAGGTAGGAAATTCAAATAGACCCATAACAAAAGAAGAAATTGAAGGGATCATTAAAAGAAACTCCCAACAAAAAAAGCCCTGGTCCAGACAGCTTCGCTGGAGAATTCTAACAAACATTCAGAGAGCAGCAGACATCAATTCTACTCAAACTATTTCAGAACATAGAAAAGGAAGGAATACTCCTGAACTCATTCTATGAAGCCAGCACAACCCTAGTACCAAAGCCAGGGAAGGGTATCACTAAAAAAGAAAACTACAGACAAATATCCCTCATGAATATAGATGAAAAATTCTCAACAAAATCCTAGCCAACAGAATACAACAGCATATCAAAAAAATAATATATCACGACCAAGTGGGATTCATATGAGGCATGCAAGGTTGGTTCAACGTTAGAAAATCAATCAACGTAATCTACCACATAAATAAAACAAAGGCAAAGAATCGCATGATCATATCAATTGATGCAGAAAGGGCATTTGATAAAGCCCAACACCCGTTCCTGATAAAAACTCTCAGCAAAATAGGAATAGAGGG